GAGGACGTCTGTGTGCGCGCCCCCCCCAAGTGCCCCCGGGGCGGAGAGTCACCTGGTGCCCCTCAGGCGGTTACTTCCCCGCCATCTCATGTGTGCGCACGGGGTAACGTGTATCACTCACATCAGGGAGTGTGTGGGGAGGTGTCCTCTCAAAGTGCACCGAGTTGGGAGACTGAGGCCCCACCTCACAGACCCGGTTAGTGACCCGGCCTGGCCTCGGTGCCGGGGTGAAGGGCTTCAGGACCCGTGTATTACCCAGTTAGAGACAGCCACAGCCTCCGGATTCAGGTATTTTGAGGCTGCGGTCTGCAGCTGAGGCCGGCTTGTGTGAGCAGCTGTGCTATGCACGCCCAAGAGGTCCCCGACCCCTGGCAGGGCACCCCTCCCCTACACCCCCGGGAATACTGGGGGGCTTGGCGAGTTGGGCGAGAATGGAGGGAGCGGGGCAAGTGAGGGCAGGGCAGAGGGAGTGGTGTGCGGAGAGGCAGTTGGTACGAGCACTGGGCAGGGGTGCGGGGCGCCGGGTCCCAGCACAGGGAGAGGGGAGGAAGGCTGGCTCAGAGTGCACCGGGAAAGGTCTGGGGCAGTGTCCAGGGGCCCCAGCGTGTGGCGCGCAAGGAAGGGTTAAGGCACGTGGGGCGGTCGCTGCGCACTGCGGGGTGACCGTGAGCGCGGCGGCGCCGGCCCACACGCAGCGGCGGTGGGGGTGCGGTCACTGCGCTGAGGGGCTGCAGGTGGGGCACCGGCCGGGGGAGTGCAGTGCGGCAGGGCAGCGTGGGGGTAGTGCCGGATCCACGGACGGCCCCTCGTGCTCCGGGGCCGGGCACCGCCCTGCACCTGCCTGCTGGGTTCGGGCCGCCAGCCTTGACCTCCCTTCAGGGGTCACCTTCTCTTGGGGTCTCGGGGACCTGTGCACGTAACTTAGACAAATTCATACAACACGAGAAAAGGTGAGGCTGGAGGCCGGTGGTCCTGGGCACCCCCTTTCCTAGTGCGGCGGAGGGAGGCCGGGGGGAGGGGGGACCTGAGCACCCCCTTTCCTAGTGCGGCGGAGGGAGGCCGGGGGGAGGGGGACCTGAGGACTTGATGGGCGGCACGTGGAAGGACCGCGGCGGGAGGGCTGATAGGCGGCACGTGGAAGGACCGCGGCGCGAGGGCTGACGGGAGATCACGTGGAAGGACCGCGGCGCGAGGGCTGACGGGAGATCACGTGGAAGGACCGCGGCGCGAGGGCTGACGGGAGATCACGTGGAAGGACCGCGGCGCGAGGGCTGACGGGAGATCACGTGGAAGGACCGCGGCGCGAGGGCTGACGGGAGATCACGTGGAAGGACCGCGGCGCGAGGGCTGATGGGCGGCGGGTAGCGTCCCGCCCACCTCTGCGAGCGCACCTGCGAGCGCACCTGCAATCTCTTCCTGAGGAGACGCCTCCCAGCTCCGGATGCAGCTCCCGCGCAGGCAGGAGCCCGCCGCCTCCTTTAGCCCCTGTTTCTGGGGGTGTACGAGGCCTCAGCGGGAGCAGGGTCGGGCTGAGCTCCCCGCGAGCGCCCAGGGAGTAGCTGTCAGCTCAGCACCCGGTGTTTGAAACACCTGAACTGGGCCAGAAGCGGAGTGGCTTCTCTGGGACACGCATTGGGAGGGTGGCCTCTCTTCGAGGGTGACCTGAGCTCCCACGCGTGCGGCCCCACCCAGCACAGCCTGTTGACCTGACTAGGGGATCGTGGGACAACCCGCTCAGGTGCAGGTGTGGGAGAGGCGGGGTGACCCTGGTGGCGGTGGCTATGTGCCCCCCAGGTTCTGGGTCTCAGGGAGGTGGGGTACACCTGACCCCCCCCGCCCCGGTGCAGGGCCTCGGGAGACGAGCGTCACTCCGGTGAGTGTGGATACGTGAGTCCCTGGTGCACACTGGGCACTGTGGTCACCCTCAGTGTGGACGTGTGACCCCGGGGGGCAGGGCACTGTGGTCACCCTGTGTCGGGGTGGATGTGTGATCCCCAGGCTGGGGTGTGGGGGGACCTGGGGTCAGTCACGCTGTGTCAGGGTGGACGGGTGACCCTCCCCCGGGTGTCAGGCCGGGGTGTGGTCATGTGAGCTGGAGACCCTGGTCGAGGAGCAGAGGTCTGCGTTGTGGTTCTGGGTGCGCCAGGAACGGGCACAGGGCCTCACCCCTGCTCCCTGCTCTGTCCTTAAACAGCAAAATGACTTCTACCCCATTGTGGGCCCGGGGCCCTTCTGGAAAAGGTTCAGGGTCAACTTCTGCGAGTTCACCGAGCTGCTGGTGCAGCAGACGCACTCCTCAGTGCTGTGTGACGGGCACCTCATGGACACGGTCATCTGCATGCTCAGTGGCCTCACCAGCTCGGCCGTGTACAGCCTGCGGCACACGAGCTCCCTGGCCGGTGAGACGCTGCACAGGCCCCGCGGCCCGGCTCCTGCTGGCCCAGGGGCGGGACTGTGGCGCTTGAGAGATGGGGGCCAGGGGCACAGGGGCACACCCCTCGGCTGGCCCCCTGGGCACGTCCTGTCCCTCTGTCCCCACGAGAGTCCCCAGGGCTGGCACACCAGGTGTGTCCTGTCCCTCTGTCCCTAGGAGAGTCCCCAGGGCTGGCCCACCCGGGTATGTGCTGTCCCTGTGTCCCCACAAGAGTCCCCAGGGCTGGCCCACCCGGGTGTGTGCTGTCCCTGTGTCTGCTGGCCTTGCGTGCCCTCTGAGACATCCTGAGTCACGGCTGAGTCTTGCTGGCTGCGGGTTAGTGACGCGGCCTTGCAGCTGGGAAGGCCGAGGGGTGTGTGGTTCCCTGGGGACGCATGTTTTGTCAGCGAGCACGGCTGTCGTCTGGGGGCGACCCTCTGCACACTTGTGACCCGGCAGGGGCAGGACGGGGCACCCTCTCCAGCCCGGCCCCCCAACCCCTCCGACCCCTCTAAGTACGGCCCCGAACCGTCACTCCTTTGGGAGGCGAGCCAGGCTGGGGGGTCCCAGATCTGTGGACCCGGCCCCGGGGTCATGGCCCTGCTCTGTTGGCAGCGATGAAGCTGCTGACAGCTCTGGCGGGCGTGAGCCAGGGCATCTGCACAAGGAGGCGCGGGGGCCAGCGGCTGTGCGAGCTCCAGAAGGTCGCCAGGATCAAGGGCAGAAACAAGCAGTACGTGGAGCTGCTGGACCAGCGCCCACAACAGGTGCGGGGGGAGGGGCCGGCAGCGGCCGCCAGGGGCAGGGGGCGGGGCCGCCGTGGAGCGGGGGAGGGTCCACCTGAGATGGGCGCAGAATCTCTGTGCGCAGTGAGGGAGGGGACCCAGGTGTGAGGTCACCAGGTGCAGGGGGGCAGTGAGGGAGGGAGGCGAAGAGTGTGCCCGGAGTGTGCCTGGGCTGTGCTGACGGACCCTGGCCCCGCTGACCCCCAGCCTCTGCGGTTTCCCCCTCGCCCCCAGGGCGCCCGCGCGGCAGCACTTGTGAGCATTGTCCCGGGTCAGAGTCTCCCCACAGTAGGCCAGTGAGCGGGGGTGCAGAATCCACAGAGGTGGCCCCCAGCCCCTTCCGTGGCCCCTTCCTGGGTTCCAGCTGGCGGCCCAAGGAGGGTGTGTGTGTGTGCGCGTGTGTGCGCGTGCACCCTGGTTCCCTGGGGACGCACAGGTGACCCTCCATTCCCTGTAATGGCTCAGAAACGTCTGTTTCTCAATGTCGTTTGTGGGTTCCAGACCTAGGGGATTCTTCTACATACGAACCGTGTTCATTCATGTCACTTGTGAGACTGGTGTGTCCCTTGTCCCCCCCCCCGCCATCCCCCCCCCGGCCTCTGTTCTCCCTGCCGTCTTCCATCCGAGCACCTGGGAGGTCGCTTCGCTGCCCAGAGTCCACCGTTCACGGAGCCCAGAAGCCTCTCCAGGAAGTTAGCTGTGCATAGTGGGGCCTCTGCCGCTCTGCCCTCTGCCCCCACCCCTGCTCCTCAGCCCCTCCCCCTGGACCCCCAACACCCCCACCTTTACCCCCACCCCTCACCCCTTTGCCCCGCCTCTCCTCACTCCTCCTCACCGCTTTGCGCCACCTCTTTGCCCCGCCCCTCACCCCATTGCCCCACCCCTCCTCACCCCTCCTCACCCCTCCTCACCCCTCCTCACCCCTCTGCCCCATCCCTCCCTCTGTCATCTCTTGTTCCCTCACCCCTGCTCCTCACCACCTCGCCCATTCCCTTCACCCCCTCCCCTGTGCTTCTTTACCCCCACCTGTGCTGTTTCACCCCCACCCTGTGCTCCCTAGCCCTCCTCCATATCGCTCACACCCTGTCATCCCTTCACCCCTGCTCCCTCTCCTTGAATAACCCCTGGTACATGGTGCCCCACCCGTTTGCCCCAGCCCCCCACGGTTTCACCCTGGCCCCTCACCTTGTCACCTCTTCACCCCCCTCACCCCCCACCCCCTCACCCCCCACCTTCACCCCCCACCCTCTCACCCTACCCCCATATATGGTGTGTGTGATGCCGGTGCGTGCGGAGCCGCCAGCAGCCTAGGTGATAGCAGGTGGGTGGGTGTGAGGCTCCAATGTTGGGAGGGGGGGAGCAGACTCGTCACAATACAGGCCGCTGATGCCCCACGACGGGTGACCACTCCGGGGCCTGTATGGGCCTGGTGCCTGCCTGCTGCACCTCTGCGGAGGCCGCATACTGCGCCACCGCTGCCTGACACCCTGGGCCTTCTCCCACACCAGCCGAACGGGCCGCTGGCCATCGACAACATGATCTGCGCGCTCTTTAAGAGGACGTTCGTGCCTCGCTACCGGTAAGGCTGCCTTGATGCCGCGCATCCTCCCCGCGCCCCTGCGGTTGAGCCGCACGTCCCGCCGTGTGGACATGTGCACCCCGGCTGTCGGGCGACACTCTGGCTTTGCTTTCTCAGCGACATCAGCTCGGACATCCGGGTGATCTGCGTGGCGGAGCTCGGCTGCTGGATCAAGCTCTACCCGGACCTGTTCCTGGACAACAACTACCTGAAGTACATCGGCTGGATGCTGTACGACAAGGTGCGTGTGCTCCGTTGCCCCTCCTCCAGGGAGGCCCCCAGGTGTGCTCTCCTGTCTGGTGGAGCAAGCCCTAGCCTCCAGGACGGTTTCTTGGGAGTCCGGCTTTGCAGACGAGTCTTTCCACAGAGCTGCGCTTTTGCAGCAGGGGATTTGGGCTGTGGGGGCTCACGTCTCCCCTGGAGAAATGGGGCCATGACAGCAGCACGGGGCGGGCACGTGACCTTCACCCGGAGGCCCTTCTGCGCCCAGGGGAGTTGCTGCCAGAACGTCCCCAGCAGGGGTGAGCCCTGAATGCAGCAGACGGACGTGGGCTCTGCCTACAGGGACCATGTGGGGCGCCCTGGACCAGGTGATCAGAGAACGTTGCCCCACCTTGTAGCGTGAGTGTGGCCCTGGGCGCGGCTGCGGCTTCGTGCTCTGTGCCCTGCTCGTGCTGCTTGGGTTCAGAAACCGTCCCTCAGGGACCGACTGGGTTCTGCACAGAGAAGTGGGGCGCAGAGATGGCACGGGCCTGCCCTGCACTTGAGACGTGGTGGGCGGGACGCATATTTCTACGTTAGGGTGACTGTTCTCACTTAGAGGAGGGGGTGACGTCAGTGGCGGAAGAGGGATCTCAGAAAGTAAGCTGTGTTGCTAAGTCCATGTGTGCGAGGGGTGTCTTTATTTTCTCTGTTTGAGAGACAAGTCTCGTCGGGGCACCTGGCCGGCCCGTCATTGGAGCCTGTGACTGTTGACCTTGGAGTCCTGAGTTCCAGCCCCGTGTTGGGCATGGACCCTTAAAAGTTATTTTTAAAAATTATAAACATATAGTAGGCTGTTTTAATTGTAGTCACTGAGTAAGTCTGTTTAGCAGTCATGACAAATACCCCACGTGGGGCGGCATCAACAGCAGACCTCATTCTCTCCCGGCGCTGGAGGCCGGGAGGCTGAGATCCAGGCGGGTTGCTCCTGAGGCCTCTCTCCTGGGTGTGTAAATGCTGTCTCCTCCCCGTGCCCTCACACGGTCATCTCTCTGTGCACGTCTGTGTCCTCGTTCCATCTTCTTACAAGGACCCCAGTCCTAATGGAATCAGAGCCCATGCTAGTGACCTTGTTCGTCAGTCCCCTGGTTTAAGACCCCAGCTGCACATACAGCCCTGTCCCGAGGGCTTCAACATGGGGCTCTGGGACACACCGTTCAGACCCAGTGGGCACTTTCCTAGACTGCGTGGGGAACGCACACACACATCCCACACAGGAAGTGTCAGGGTGAGGGCTGGTCGAAGAGGCACACCTGAGGGAGAGTCTGTGGGGGGGAGGCGGCCCTTCCGCGGTGACGGGACCGTTTCTCTCTCCTCAAGGACGCGAGCGTGCGGATGAAGTGCATCCTGGCGCTGAAGGCGCTCTATGAGAAAAGAGAGTCGGCTATGAAGTTGAGCGTCTTCTTCCAGAAGTTCAAGGTGAGTGAGATTCTGTGTCTCGGCCGCTGCCTCCAGGGCCGGCCGGGGTGCGCGACGCCGAAGCATTGTGGTGCATGTGTGGATGTCGGGCCAGCCACTTGCTGGCCTTGGACCGCCCGCCATATCTCCACCCAGCGCTTGGGGCTGCCTTCCGGGAACACGCACCAGGCGCTCCTCTGGGTGCCGAGCCCAGGATGGAGCTGCCACGCTTCAGAGTGCATCTGGCGACCCGGTCCGCGGTGGCAGGCCCGTGCTGTGCAGGGCTGAGTGTGGGCCAGGCGAGTGCCGGCCTGTATTTTGTGAGTATGGGAGCCGGAAGGGTCTGCGCCCGCCATCCGGACAGAGGAACGGCTATGCCACGGGTCTGCAAGCCTCCCTGCCGCACGTGCAGAGCTGCTCACGGACGTGAGACTGGAGCAACATTGGGGCGGTGTGGGGCTGCGGTCCACGGTGATTTGTACTCCAGCTGCCCTGAGCTCGGGGCCCGCTGCCACTCAGGACGCGTCTAGAGGCCCCACTGCCCAATGTGGACGGCAGGTCTTGGCAAGGACCCCTGACCGTAGGGCCGTCAGGACTCAGGCCGGGAACAGTGGCCGTTTGGGAGCAGGGGTTGGACCCCGGAGGTGAGCGGTGAGCGTGGACGGCGCGGCGGGGCAGCTAGGAGGTCATCTCCCCTCCGGGGTGTGCGGGAAAGACCAGCCTTCCTGACTGTGTCAGCGCCCCGGCTGGGCGGCTGCCGACAGGGCAGAGCGAGGGCAGCGCCGCGGGCACGGGCGTTCACAGCAGCCTTGGCTGGCCCCGGAGCGCTTGCGAGGGCACGACACCCCAAGGAGACTTAGCGCACGTGATCTTACGCCCGATGAGGAGTGGGCGCCCAGGAGAGACGCTAGTGTCCGCTGTCCAGGAGCTCAGGGTGCACCTTCCCTCCGGGTCCCTGGAGGCCTCCCGCCCGCAAGGGTCCGGGGCTGCAGTACCGCAGTTTCTCGGGCACCTCCAGCTCGAAACCCTGCAACGTGCAAGGTGTCCACGTGGGGGCAGTGTGTCCTCACCGTTGTCAAGGTTGTGTCTGAGGTCCTGCTTCCGTGAGCCCTGTCACCTGACAGCGGCCTCGGCTGCAGCTGGGGCTTCAGGACCGGCGTTCTGGAGACAGTCCCGCCCCGAGGTTCCGCTAGCTTCTCTGGGAAAGTGAAGCCCACCCATAGCGAGGGTGGGGGGCAGGTGGAAGTCTGCAGGCTGGAACCCCGGTGTCCGAGGGGGGTGGGGAACGGAGGGCCTCGTGGAGGGGGTGGTGAGTCTCCACGGAGGGCAGCACAGGGCCCGTCCTGTGCACTGACGGGAGCCACGGCCTCTTTGTGGGTGTAGAGGTCGCACAGAGTCCCCTACGTGGGAGAGAAAGGCTACGGAGACTCGTGGCCGGAGACACACGCTTTGTGTGGTGTGCTGGGCGGGCACGTGGGGGGGTCACTTTCACAGACTTGGCTTATTTGGGGGGCTACCGAGGTGGCTGCAGGGGGGGCTTCCCCACCGCCCCCAGGGTCCAGGGCAGCTGCCTCCAATTTCTGTGCCGAAGAATTCTGTCTCCCGGTCGGTCCAGGCAGCTGCACACGCTGAAAGTCTGGGGACATGTGGTTGTCACCACTGGGCGTGTGGGCGCTGCTGGCATCTGCGGGGACCCGGGATGCAGCCGATGTCCTGCATGGTGCGCACGCTGCCCACCCAAGGGGACGACCCGGGCTCCCGTGTTCTCCGTGCACACGGTGCCGGAACCAAGCGGGCTCATTGCGCTATCCTCTCGCTTCCCCTAGAAACGAATCCTGTCGATGACCCAGGACAGGCAGCCGGAGATCACGTCCGAGTGCATGCAGCTCCTGCGGCTTATATCCGAGTGCGTACCCCGCGGCCGTGCGCAACCCCGCGTCTGTCCGTGCGCGGCCGTGCGCAACCCCATGTCCGTGCGTAGCCCTGCAGCCCGAGAGTGTTTCCAGGCCACATGGGTAGCGGGCCGGATGACCGGGGTGGGAACGTGCATCTGTGGACTCGGTTTCCACCACCCTCTAGAGTGCATTGCAGGCGGGACGCGGGGTCACGGGTCCTCCAATACCGACGTGGGGAAGGTCTTACCCGGGCGGCTCCTGACACGTGTATGCAAGCCACCTGGGCAGGGACGTGAGCTGCCCCCTCCCGCCGACACTGGCACACGGAGCAGGCTCTTTGACCTGCTGTGCGTCTGCCTTCCCGTCCGTGACTGTGCAGAGTCCGTGGCTAGAAGCCACACTTCTGTAAGGAAGGTTGGTGGTTGATGCCTTGGGTCAGCCTGACTGCTGGCGGTGGTTGGAGGGGACGGCTTAACCCGTGATTCCAGTGAGGCGTTCCTGGGATAGAGTAACACACAGGTCACCAGACTCAGTAGAGCAGAGTGCCCTCCCGAGGGTGGTGGGCCACATCTGATCACTTGAAGGCCTGCATGACGAAAAGGGGAGGAAGTTATTGTCGCCTGGCTTGACTCCTGGGCCGTGTGGGGCACCGGGTCCTGGGGCCCCAGCCTGGTTCCGAGTCCTGGATCTGCACCCACTGACTAGGCTCAGTAATGGGAGGGGCCCCTGTGCCCCTCGTTGGACAGAACCGGGAGGCTTGGGGGCTTGAGGGCGCACAGGGCTGAGTGGGACCCACCTAGGGTGCTCCTTGTGACCCGGAACCCCGAGGGCAAACGCAGGTGTCCCCCAGGCTTGTTCCATGGCGTTGGCGGTCTCCCATCGCCACTCACAGCCCAGACCATGAGGCGCATAGGGCACTTGCCCGTGTTTCCGCCGGTTCGGGAGTGTCTGTGTGGCTGTGTTTGCACGTCGTTCCTCCGTGCTCAGACGCCCACTGGATGTGTCTGCATAAAGGGCACACTGGGGACATCCGCCCAGGTGGTGTCCGCTGTGACCCTTCGCACCCCCTGACCCCTCCTGGCGTGGGGAGCCATGGACATCTGCCTCTCCACGTCCGCCGCTGCGTGGTTGCCCGCTGTCCCGCTTGGGTGCCCTGCGTGTGCGCCCCTGCACGGCTGCCCGTTGCTTCTCCATGTGCACCCCTGCACGGTCCCCCACCACCCCTGCCGTTTCTGCCCCTCAGTGTGCGCCCCGCTCGGTTGCCTGCTTGGGGTCGTCGGGTGGGGTTGGCTGACAGGTGGCCCAGGCGCACACGTGGGAGAGGACAGGGTTTTCCCTTTGGGTCCGGCCGCGGGCTGGAGGGGAAGGAACCCAGACACGGGAGGCCCTGTGGGGGGAGGCCTTCCCAGATCCTGCTCACGTGGCCTGGGTGCCTGTCCTGGGACGTGGGCCGCCCCCGGGGAGCTCAGTATGTCAGGAATTCTGGGGGTGGGGGCACATCTAGGTGAAGCAAAGATTGGGGCCGCTGGCTTAGCAAAGAGCCTCCCTTTGCCCTCCGCAGGGGACTGGCGCGAGCGGCAGCGTCACGCGCGCGCCTCCGTGCCCCCCCCCCGCGCGCCCCTCCCCCCCGCGCCCCCTCCCCACTGCGCGCCCCCCTCACGCACCCCCCGTCACCCATGCGCCCCCCGTCACGCGCCCCCCCCTCACCCGCGCGCCTCCCCACAGGCACTACGTGGGCGTGTTCTCCTCCATGGAGTACATCTTCCTGTTCCAGTTCGTGTACGCGGCCTACAGGCCCATGGCGACTGCTGCGGGCGAGCTCATCTGTAGGAGGTAAGGCCGGTACCCGTGGCCTGTGACACTGCCTCCAGGGCTGTGACGTCACCGTGGTGTTCCGGGCGGGTCCCGCGTCCCGCGTCCCGCATCCCGCATCCCGCCGGGTGCAGACTCCCAGAGGAACGAGGGCGGGGGCAGGTGGCGGCCTCAGGGACCTGGGGACCAGGAGGGCCCTGACCAGGGGCCTGCACGGGACGGGAGGCGTGGGGCCCCGGGGACGGAACAGATGGGCACAGACGCCACCGGAAAGGACACGTGTGACAGGGGTCGGCCGGCTTGAGCCGTGTTACAGGCGTGTCCAGACGTGAGTTGATGTGAGCAGGTGGTCGTGGCCCCGGGGGTCCCTCCCCCAGGTCCCCTCCTGGCCCATCTGGCTGTCTCACCCTCCCGATCGCGTCTGTGTTCAGACGAGGGTCCGTGTCCTTTGGGGGTTTGAAGTGCGGCAACAGAGACAGTCCGGCTGTCTGTTCCCTCCCTGGTGCCGGCCTGAACCAGCAGTGGGGTGGACAGACAGAAGTCATTCCAGATCTTTCCTCCGTGGCTGTGTCCTGCCTCCACGGCTTCCCGGTGTCCCTGCTCCCCATGTCGCCGACCCGTGTGTGTGCAGAGCCTTGGGGACCCACAGGCGCACGGGGTCCCCCACCCAGGCTGATGTCGGGGTCGCTCTGTCTGACCTCACTAGGCTCCTGCTCCCTCCGACCCAAGAAGGCTTGGCTGGTCAGAACTCACCTGCCGAGGTCGACAGAAACATGCAGAACATGAAGACGCTCATCGACTTCTACCTGCAGGGCGAGGTGAGGGCGTGGCCTCGCGGGCCCGGGGACGGGGTGTCCGCATCGCGGGAGGGACCTGGACTCCTGTCCTGCCCCCTACGTTCCATGCCACGTCCTGTGTCCTGCGTCCCACGCGCTGCGTCCGGTGTTCCATGCCATCTCCCACGTCCGGTGTGGGGCTGACACGCACTTGGTTCCCGTGGGGACACTCGGTGTGGGCACGTGGCACCTGGGTCTCTGGGCAGGTGTCCTCATTTGTCGTTCCGTGTCCACCCACACGGGGGGGTTGGGAGGGGGCTGTTCCACCCATGTGCTCAGCTGTCCCTTCCACCTCGTGTCGTCACACATCTGCCTCGTGTTACGAGTCTGCCTGGTGTCGTGTGTCCCACGTCGTCATATGCCTGTGACGCGTGTGCTTTCCGTGTCTTGTGTCCCCCTGCCTGTGTCATCACGTTGGTCTTTGTCATAACATGCCCCCCTTGCTCCGTGTTGTCACGTGTCATCGTTTGTCACCTCCGTGTTGTCCCGTGTCCGTCGTCACGTACCCCTCTTGCCCTGTGTTTTTCTTCTTTCTCACGTCATCACGTGTCCTCCCACCCCGCGTCATCACGTCTCTGTTGTCATGATCTCTTGTCGTGTCTCCTGTCCCACGTTGTCACGTGTCCCCACGTCATCACGTGTCCCCACGTCATCCCACGTCCCCTCTGTCGTGTCATTACCTGTCTTTTCTGTTATCACGTGTCCCACTGCCCTGCGTCACGTCCTGCCCGTGTCGTCACGTGGCTCACCTCTTCCCAGCCGTTACGTGTACCCGCTTCTGTCACGTTCCCCTCGTGTTCTGTGACAGCTCCCTGTTGTCACCTGTCCCCATCCTCTGCGTCATGCTCTGTCCCATGCCGCCACGTCTTTACTCTGGGTCATCACGCGTCCTCACGCCGTCACGTGTTCCCTGCACGTCGTCACGTGTCCTGCCCACGCCACGTCATCACGTCTTCCCTGTCCGGCATCACGTGTCACTCCAGCATCGTCGTGTTTTCCCTTCGGCGTCCTGACCTCACGCGTGTGGCCCGTCCCTGTTAGTTCCACAGACACGTCCCCTACCTGGTGGACGGCCTGTGGGACGCGGCGCCCGCCCTGGTGCGGAACTGGGAGTGCATGACGTCCCTGCTGCTGGAGCCACGTGGCGGGCGCCAAGGTGAGCGTGGCCAGAGGCCTGCTCTGAGTCGTGGACTGGGGCCGGTGATCCCGCTGGCCTCCCTGCCGTCCCCGCCAGGCACAGTGCCCCCCGTGTCCTCTGTCCGCCCGTGTCCTGCCGTCCCTATTTCTCCGTGGCCCACCATCCCCCCCGAGTCCCGCCGTCCCCCGTGTCTTGCTGTCTCTATTCCCCTGTGACTCGCTGTCCCCTCCTCCCCGTGCCTGGCCGTCCCTGCTGGCCCCCCCACCGTGCCAAGCGCGTGTCCGTACTTGCAGTGACCCCAGCTGCCAGCACGTGGCACTCACAGCCCCGTCGATCCCTCCTGTGCTCTGTTTGCTCCTGGGGCGGCTGCGAGACGGGGCATATGATGTGCTTTCCCGCGGTGAGACGTTCTCCGGCCTCAGGGCCGGGCTGTCACGGGGCTCTAGCGCGGGGTCCACAGGACGAGGGCCAGAGACTTTTCCCGTGAGAGGATCAGCCTGGGGGCCGCTGAAGCCCAAAGCCTGGGCCCCCGAGTCAGGGAGCGGTGTCAGCAGAGCACCTGGCGAATGAGCCCCCCGAGCAGCTGGGACACCTCCCCCCGCCCTCTGAGACCCCACCGCACGCAGACACCAGCCCCTGGAGACGGTACCTTCCTCTGACGCGGTCCCTCCCCAAATCCCTTGTGCAGACACCGGTGTCGTCTGGCCACAGCCAGGAGTCCTGGTGCCACTTCTCAGGTATCGCAGGCCCGTCAGGTTCCTGGAGGGACCCGGAGCCCTGACCGTGCTCCTTGGGGTCCCTGAAGGGACCATTTTTTTTGTCATGGGGATGCCTCCTTTCCCCTGACTCAGAGTCCTGGGGCCCAGCTGTGTGGTCTGTGTTTCTTGGCTGTGACCGTGGGTCTGCTCCTGCGGCGCCTGGCCTTATGGGCAGCAGCCCCCGGGTGCGAGAGACGAGACAGGAGGCCCGCTGTAAGGTTCTCGGGTTGCCTGTGACACGTGGCCTCAAGCCCGGTGGCCGAAAACAAGAATCCATCCTCTCTGAGGTCTGGAAACAGAAGTCTGGGATCCCAGGCGGGGCAGGACCCCCGAGATCCAGGGGGACAGGGCCCCGGAGACCCAGGGCAGGCAGCACACCTGAGATCCAGGGCAGGTGGGACCCCTGAGACCCAGGCGGGGCAGGACCCTTGAGATGCTGGCGGGGTAAGACCCCGCAGACCCAGAGCTGGCAGGACCCTCGAGATCCAGGGGGACAGGGCCCCGGAGACCCGGGGCCGACAGGACCCCCGAGATCCAGGGGGGCAGGGCCCCAGAGACCCGGGGCAGACAGGACCCCCGAGATCCAGGGGGGCAGGGCCCCGGAGACCCAGGGCAGGTGGGAGCCCTGAGACCCAGGCGGGACAGGACCCTTGAGATGCTGGCGGGGCAGGACCCCGGAGACCCAGGGGGGCAGGGTCCCGGAGACCCGGGGCAGGCAGGACCCCCGAGATCTAGGGGGACAGGGCCCCGGAGACCCAGGGCAGGCGGGACCCCTGAGATCCGGGGGGGCAGGGCCCCGGAGACCCAGGGCAGGTGGGACCCCTGAGACCCAGGGGGCGGGGCCGCTGAGATGCAGGGGGCGGGGCTGTGCTCCCTCCTGAGGCTCCAGGGAAGGGTCCTTCCTGCCTCTTTGAGCTTCTGGGGCTCCAGGCGCTTCTGGGCTCGTGGCCGCGTCCCTCCCGTCTCTGCCTCCATCTTCACGTGGCTGCTTTCTGTGTGCTTCCTCCTCTTTTATGAGGACAGTTGTCAGTTGGTTCAGGGCCACTCTCATCCAGGATGAGCTCATATCAGATCCTTCATTTGATTACACCTGCAAAGATTTGGTTTTCCCACAAGCCCCTGTTCTGAGGTTCTGTGTGGGTGTGAGTTTGAGAGGTTAAAGCCAGCCCAGAACACTCCACGAACAGACCGTATCCTCTCAGGTGGATGGTTTTAGACCCGAGTCCTAGCATGTTGGGGGCAAGCCGGTGAACCCCGGTCTGCGGTTTGAGGTGCCGTCAGGTGCTGCCCTGAGGACACGCGCGTCCGTCCCAGCGCGGGGCTGTGCACGGGAGTCCCACGTTGAGGTGAACGGGAGACGGCGGTTCAGTTTCTGTGCAGTTTGAGCGAAGGGCTTGCTCTGGTCTGCGTGTCCCCGAGCCCGTGAGCCGTGTCGGGGTGCTGCTGCGCCCGGGAGCCACGCCATGCTCCCCGCGTGCCGGGCTCCCCGAGGCCCCTCAGAGCAGCGCGTCGGCCCGAGCGCGTGTCTCCCGGTGAGGGTCGGAGGGCGCTGACCTGCGCACCCGTCTCCCGCAGCGCTGACGAGCCAGCAGGAGCGAGTGCTCATCGAGATCCTCGTGGCCGCCGTGCGACAGGCTGCAGAGGGTCACCCACCTGCTGGGCGCGAGCTGAGCAAGAAAGTCAGTGCCACCCCCCGCCTGGACACGCTCCGTCCCCTGTGCTGACCGCTCTGCTGTGGCTGCTGTGGCCTTGCTGTCAGTGCCGGGGCTCTGTGGGTGCCGCTGCTGCCCCAGCCTCGCGGTGCTCCCCCCACCCGCGTGGCCGTGGGACCGCTTGCTGCCGCTTCGGCCTTGTGCTTGGCACCCTGGCTGCTCACTGGGCCGCCGGCTCTGCGGGCGGGGCTCCCGGCCACCCAGGTAGGTCTCGCTGGCTGTGCCTCGCGGCTCCTGCTAGCAAGCCCTCTGCCAGCTCTTCCCCGTGTGTGCCGTCCGCATCCCCTGGGAGGGCACGCCACGGTCCCCGTCTCTCCTTTCGTGCCGTGTTCACACCGGACACGGCAGTCTGTCAGCCGGCCCCTGAATCGCCTCTGTGAGTCTCTGCTGCTGCTGCTGGGACAGAAGACCACGCCCCGGGGGACTTAAAACCGCAGCAGTTCTGCATCCGCCCCAGCTCTGGAGACCAGAGTCTGAGATCCAGGCGAGGCAGGGCCACGGAGATCCAGGCAGGGCTGCTGACGTCCAGGCGGGGCGGGACCCCTGAGATCCAGGGGGTGGGGCCGTGCTCCCTCCTGAGGCCCCAGGGGAGGGTCCTTCCCGCCTCTCCCAGCTCCTGGGGCCCCAGGGTCCCTGGGCTCGTGGACACCTCCCTGCTGTCCTGTTTTCCTGTGCCTGCCATGTTCTCCCCTACACACGTGTGTGGCTCTGTGCCCTGATCTCATTTTTATGATGACCCCAGTCCTACTGACGCGGGTGTAGTGTAAGCCGTCAACCTGGGGGAGACGACTCAGTTTTTCTTGATGGCTCCCGTGCACGGGAAGTACTTTACGTGAATCACACAGCAGGGTAGTAATGGGAAGCTTTAGCCTTGATTTGGGGGCAGCTCTGCCTGGATTTACCTGTGGGCCGGTCCTGGGGCCACCGCAAGACTCATGTGGGTGCCGTGGGCTCAGGCCACACATGCTCTGCCTGCAGGCCGCCAGGGAGGTGGACAGGACCCGCCGCGGGCGCGAGCATGGCAACATGAGCCGACACTTTGTCAAGGTGCTGCCCCAGCTGCTGTCCAAGGTGCCAAGTGGGGAAGGGCCGTGGCTGGGACCGGGGAGGTTGTGGGAGCTCAAGGGCAAGCCAGGAGGCTGCGGAAGCGAGGGGAGGCCGGGAAGGCTCCCCTTCATGCCTGCTCTGTGGACAGTTTGCAGCGGACAAGGAGAAGGTGACCCCCCTCCTGCAGATACCCCAGTACTGCAACCTGGAGGTGTACGACAGGGACGGCCTGGGCTCGGTGAGTCACACAGTCCTCCTGAGGCCTCTCCCCTCCCTGAGTTCCGCCCTCAGGGACCGCGCCCCCCGCCCCCAGGTTTCAGGCGTGGGGCCCCGGGGCCATCACGGCGTCTGTCCCCATGCTCTGCCGTTTCCCTGAGGCCTGGGGCCTCACCGCTCCCAGGACGCTCCCCTGCTTGTCTGTGCCGCTGCTGGAATGTCCCCCTGTCCCAGCAGGGCGGGCTGGTGGGCTCTGGGGCCGGGGCTGTCCCCTGGTCAGTGCCCTAGGTCCCCGAAGCTGGAGGTGGGTGGGGGGCCCTGAGGCGGGGCAGGGCTGGCAGGGCTGGCAGCACCAAGGCACCGGCCACTGGCTCGGGTTTCTGCTGTGTGCAGGTCAGAGGCCTGAGTCTGGGTGGCGCCCAGGGGTCTGGTCCTGAGGGCGCTCGTGAGCACGTGGGGGCTTCGGTGTCGGTGTCCCGCGTGTACGTGCGGTGCGGCCGTGGTGTGGGGGCGGGACAGGTGGGGTCTGAGGGGGGCCTGGGGGCCTGGGTGGCTGCTCCAGCTTTCTGCCCACGCTGTCCACACCGCAGGGGCTGCCACCGCCCATAGTCGTGGGAGGGTCCAGACATCTGGGCCCACAGCTCCGTGACTTCTTCCTCTTGGCCCCGTGTTCCCCTCACTGCTCCCCATCTGGCCCGTTCCTTCTGACCCCTGGCCTCCTCCCCCAAATCTCTGGCCTCCTCCCCACAAGCTCTGACCACCTCTCTGGCCCTTTATCCCTCAGCCCTCTGAACTATGACCTTTACCTTTGACCCAGTGACCCCCTGGCTTTCCCCCTCAACTACCTGATCTTCTCCCTAACCTCCTGACCTCCCCCCCGCTCTTCCCTCCTCAACCCCCACACCGCCCCCCCTCAACACTATGACCTCTGGCTCCCTGACCTCCCGCTTCAACACCATGATCTCTGACCCCATGAGCTTTCCCCCTCAACGTCATGACCTTTGATCCCCAACCTTGCCCCTCAAGGCCATGACCCCATGACCCCCTGACCTTTACCCTCAATACCATGATTCTCCTGACCTTTCCCCTCAATACTATGATCCCATGACCCCTTGACCTTTTCCCTCAACCCTATAACTCCATGATCCCCCCAGTCTTTCCCCTCAACCCTGGGCCGCAGTCCCCTGACCAGCCGTCTGTCCCCGCTCCCCCGCCATCCACAGTACCTGGACTCAGCCCTCCTGGAGCTGGACTGCCTGGTGCAGCGGCACTCGGACGTGGCGGTGCTGGAGGCCTGCGCCCGTGCCTATGGCGCCTACTGCCACGAGGGGGGCTTCGCCCAGTGCCACGCCGGCCCCGCCTGCAGCCGCCTGGTGGACATGCTGGTGGACGCACTGACCCCGCTGCTGGACGTGTTCATCCAACACGAGGTGCCAGCCTTGGGGGTGTGGTGGGGGTGGTGTGAGTGGTGCAGGTGCGTGGGCGTGGCGAGTGGTGTGTGTGCGTCGGTGTTGTGTGGGTGTGGCTGCGGTGTGGGAGGTGCGTGGGTGTGGTATAGGTGGTGCGTGTGGGTGGTGTGGGCGCGTGGGTGTGGAGTGGGTGGTGTGGGTGCGTGTGGTCATGGTGCGGGTGCGTGGGTGTGGTGTGTGAGTGGTGTGGGCGCGTGGGTGTGGCGTGGGTGGCGTGTGGTCATGGTGCGGGTGCGTGGGTGTGGTGTGGTATGAGAGGTGTGGGTGGTGTGGGCGCGTGGGTGTGGTGTGGGTGCGTGTGGTCATGGTGCGGGTGCGTGGGTGTGGTGTGGGTGGTGTGGGCGCGTGGGTGTGGTGTGGGTGCATGGGTGTGGTGTGGGTGGCGTGTGGTCGTGGTGCGGGTGCGTGGGTGTGGTGTGGTGTGGTTGGTGTGGGCGCGTGGGTATGGTGTGTGGGTGGTGTGTGGGTGTCAGTGTGGTGTGGGTGGTGTGAGTGGTGTGGGTGCATGCGTGGGTGTGGTATGAGTGGTGTGTGGGTGGCACGGGTGGTGTGAATGGTGTGAGGGGTGCGTGGGTGTGGTGTGGGTGGTATGGGTGGTGTGAATGGTGTGAGTGGTGCGGGTGCGTGGGTGTGGTGCGGGCGGTGTGGGCGCATGGGTGTGGTGTGGGTGGTGCAGGTGCGTGGGTTCAGATGTGGTTGTAGGTATCAGTGTGGGTGTGATGTGGGTGTTGGAGTATAGCCGTGGGTGTGGGGTGTGTGCTGTGGGTGTGGGAGTGGGGTGTGTTGTGTGGGGTGTGGAGAAGCCCCCTGAGGTGGGCCGTGTCCCGGCCGAGGACACTTACCCCTAATACTCCTGTATTTAGGGGCCATGCGCCTGTCAGGGGTCAGCCCCGGGGACCAGCTCTTGGTGTCTGGGGACACAGGGTGGGTTCTCTGAGCCCTGCTGCTCACGCCGCACCTGCGATGGGGGCCTCTGTCCCCGGGGAGTGGGTGGATGTCGGGGGTAACAAACATGCTCCGTGTTTCCCAGGGGAGCCCTGTGAGCCCCTAAACAATACCATCTGACTGAGGCCGTGGCTCGTGTACCCTTGGGCAGAGGGTTTCTGTAATGCGTCACGTCACAAGTGTTTTTGGGGGGTCGTCCTGTGTCCGGGTGGTGGTGTGAGAGCACCATACGTGTCACGTGACCGGGCCGTGTTCCAATAAAACTTTATTGACCCCGACAGGTTGAGGGCAATGTGGCCTCTGTGGATCAGGGGTCCAGCCCCACCTCAGGGGCTTTCCGCGTGAGGACCTGTTCCCACAGGCGGGGCTCCAGGTTCCTCTTGCGTCCCCCAGCCGAGCGCCTGCCGTGAATTTGGGGGGCTAGGGGTCAGCAGCGTGCCTTCCTGTCTGCTCTCCCAGCTGCGAAGCGGGAGGGCTGTTCCGGTGCTGGGTCCTTCCTGGGGACGCAAATGAAGCGCTCCGAGGTGGCAGATCTCGTGTCATTTCCATCCTTCTCCGCATCAGTGCGTGTGTTTGGGGGCTGTCCTGGGCCCCCCGTTTCCTGCAGGGCCGCAGGCAGAGCGGCCTGGGGTACTGTGTCCTGTTCCGAGAGTTTTAAAGAGCTGCCTTCGGCAGTAGGAGGAGAGGAGGCGGGAGGGAGGGCAGGCGGGCGGCTGGAAGCCAGGACCCCGTCCCCGGGCGGCCCCCCCCCGCCCCCAGAACACGCCTGTCAGCGGCCACCCGCCGTGCTCTCTCCCCGCCGCGTAGAAACAAGGCCAGTTCCTGGGGCACCGTGAGATGGGCCGCATCTGCTCCACGCTGCGGAGACTCGTGGCCTTCTACAGGTGAGCCGGGTGGCGCGGCCGGTCCCTTCGGGGGGACACACTCGGCCCCCCGGCTGCGTGCACGCCGTCTCTCTCTGAGCTGTGTCCCCATGTCCCAGGTGAGGTGAGGAAGCTCAGAGCGCCAGGGATGTCCCCTGGGTGTGCTGGGTGGCTCTGGGGCCCCTGGGTGCCCATCCTGCCCACCCGGGGCCCTGAGCCGCATCTACAAGGGCTGGGACCATGTACTGGGGGGGCCGCCTCGGCCCTCTGGGGTGGGGGGGCCCCTCAGTCCGCCGGGAGCTGGTCCTGCTCCAGGGCCTGCTGGCCGGGCGTTGGCGGCTCCCAGGGCCGAGTCGGGCCCTGAGACCCGTTTCTGGTCAGCACGCACGACCTGAGCAGCTGGAACCTCTACGAGAAGATGGACAGTCTGCTGACCTTCCGCAGGCACCAGGGCGGCCTGCCCACCGAGGTGAGGGCACCGCGTCGGGGGAGGGGCCGCGGTGGGGGGAGGTCCTGGTGGGGGGGCTCCTGGTGGGGAGAGAAGGGTCTGGCAGGGGGGTGGGGGGGGACAGGCCCCGGGTGAGGTCTCAGGGTCTTATTCAGAGGAGCGCCCCCGGGTGGGTGTCCCGTGTGCCCCGCAGGTCGTCCACTGTGCGCTGCAGTGCACCTACTATGCGCTTCTGTGGCAGATCGTCGCAGCCACGGACCGGCTGCCGCCTCAGGTGGGTGAGGGGCCTGGGAGGGGCAGGTGTGTGGACTGCAGTTGTCTGTGAGGAGGGGGAGATGCAGCGGGTCGGGGACAGGGTCACGGCTTCCACGGGCATCTGTCCCCAGCACTAGCTGGTGTCCGTCATCCTGGGGTCAGGCCTGGGCTCCTGGGCTGTGACCTGAGAGGTGGCCTTGGGCCACGGCCGACACCTCCCTGCAGCCTGTCCACCCAGCACGCGGAGCTAAGTTCAGGTAGTCTCCGAGCACCTGCCCCACGTTTGCTGGGTGAGACCCGTGACCGTGGTCGCTAGGCGAACTGAGGGTAGTTTGAAGCCAGACTTGTCGTGGGCCCGTATTTATGGGTTCCTGGAACCCTGCAGCCCAAGTTCCTCAGGACAAAGCACAGACCGGTGGGGAGAAGGTGTGGTGGTGTGGGGGACACGGGAGGGGGACGTGGGGCATAGGAGGGGCTGTGGGGATAAAGGTGGGGGGGGACAAAGATGGGAGGGGAGAGGTCGACGGTGGGACGTGAGGTGGGGGATGTGGAGGGAGGCGTGGCAGGAGACACGAGGGCAAAGGGGGGAGGTGGGGGAGGGGAGGGGTGTTGTGCATATGGGGGTTAGGGTGAGGGGGGGGTGGGGGGGCGGGGGGCGTGGGGGCGTGAGCTCCTCTGTGTCAGGCCGTGGCTGGGCCCCGGCCCCGAGGGGGACGGGGGGGCGGGGGTCTGGCGCTCGCGGACTCGCCTGACGGGAGGCCCCTGTGCTGCCCGTGGGCAGGAGGCGCTGCTGGACCTGCGCCGGCGGCTGATGAAGTTCTGCGTGGCCTGCCGCGTGTACCTGAGCCACCAGAGCAAGGTGCTGAGCGAGAAGGTGGGTGCGCCCTCTGCACCGGGGGGGGGGGGCCGCCCCGGGCCGGGTGAGCGGGAGGAGCACAGGCTTAGAAACGCAGACTTGGGCCCGTGGTTTACGTGGTGGCATTTACGCGTCTTCCCGCGTGTCTCGTGCGGTGACGTGTCTGCTTCTGCGCTTTGGCCTCGTGTGAACACCCCGTTCGTGTGAACCGGTTTCCGCGCGTCCGTGGCGACCCCGCCAGGTCTGTGCGGTGCACGCGCTTGGCGTTAAGTCCAGGGCCCCTCCTCTGGCGGTTCCACGCGTGGGGAACCTTTACGGTGATCTCCCGTCTCCGGGGAAGCGGTTCTGACGGACAGGCCACCCGCTTTCTGCCGACACGTGTGCTCGGTGACCTGCCTGCGCCCTTCCAGCGAATGTGCCGGAGACCCCGTGCCCGTCTTAGACAAGACGTGTGGTGTCCGACCGCTGGCCCACGAGGGGCTTGAGCGCGTGTCTACTTTTCCGGGCGCGGAGCTCTGTCCGTGTCACCCCCTCGCCCGTCACACGTGTGTCAGCGCCTTCTTGTCACCGTGGGATTTGGTCGTGAGCCTGGAGGCGGCGCACATTTCCAGCCACTGAGTGTGGTGTTTCTCGGGTGTCGTGTGGGGTTCTGGCACCTGTATGTCGTGCGTGCGCTGCTGCTTCTGCTCCGCGGGCTGCGTTTCCCGCCTGCACGCGACCTCGTCCCGCCGTCGGCCTGTGCACTGGCGTCTGACGGCAGGTTTTCCAAGTCACCAAATGTCCCACGTGCTCTTTCGCTAGGACGTCCACGTTGAACCCTGTGTCACAGGCAGGGTGGGGTCGGGGACGGGTGTTTTCGGGGGCCCGGCCGCTGTAACCCTCCCCGCGCGGTGGGCCCCTCTGCGTGGGGTCGCCCACCCCTGGGGGCCTGCGGGGGGGGGGGGCAGCGGGGGCAGGCGGTGGCCGTGGCTGTGGATGCCCCGTCATCCCTCCGCCCTCTGCCCTCAGGCCTTCATCCTGCTGTGTGACCTGCTTCTCATCCTGAGCCACCAGGGCCCCGAGGACGACACGGGCCTGGGGCTGCTGTTCTTCGTGCCCGACCAGGTCCTGCAGGCCAGGCTGCTCGCCTTCCTGCGGGAGCACGTGTTCCTGGAGGAGCCAGGATCCGAAGGTCTGCCCCCAGGGGCCGCCGCGGGGCGGTGGGGTACCCCGGGCAGGGGCGGGGCCTGGCGGGGTGCTCTGCACCCTGGGGCGTGCGGCCGCACTCTCACACGTCTGTCTTCCGGGTCCGTGCGGGCACGGAAGGGTCGGCGGAGCGTGGAGCCGGCGGCCCGGAGCAGGAGACGCAGGGACTCTCCGGTGCTGGTTCTGAACCCCAGCCGCCCCAGGACGATGCCTGGACCCCCGAACACCCTGCATCAGAGTCCCCGCCGTGCCCTGGGGTACCGTGCCACACGGCTGTCCCAGGAGCCAGGGGGCCGGGAAGACGTGGCGGGCGGCGGGCTGTGTCCCCGGGTCCCAGCAGGATTTACACGGAGGAGGACGCGGATGAGCTGCACCAGCTGTTCCACAGGAGAAACATGCTGGCCGTGTTCTGTAAGCTGGTCGTCTACAACGTGCTGGACATCAGCGCGGCCGCCGAGATCTACCAGTTCTACCTGCAGGTCTCTGCCCCCCCCCCCCCCGTGTGGGGTAAAGGATTCCACACGTGCGGACAGCACGACTGGAAAGTGCCTGGTCTCACCGACGCCCTGCCCTCCCGTTTCCTTCCCCGCTTCCTGTGGGTGACCCGCTCAGGTCGCGTGGGGACTGCATCCGTGATGTCCCTGTGCATCTTTACAGCGCTGAGACCTCTTCCCGGCCGTAAATTCCAGTGGGTTTTTTTCACGTAGGACATCAAATGTTAATTCCATTCTTTCATCCCGACTGAGACTGAATACGGTCAGTCTTGCGAGAGTGGGGACTTGTTTTCGGTTTTGATCGTTGATGTATTCGAAGTGATTATCATCAGTAGCAGGTATTGACAAGAGCCCAAAAGTTTTGATGGAAGGGTAGGTGGGTGGATGGATGGGTGGATGAGTGGATGGACAGATGGACAGATAAATGGATGTACGTGGACATGAGTGGGTACAGAAACGGATGCGTGGATTGTGGGTGAATGAGTGGAGAGAGACACGGATGGATGGGCGGGTTGATGGGTGGATGCATGAATGAACGATGGCTGGACGGACAGTGGGTGGGTGGACGGATGATGTGCGCGTGGACAGATGGACGGAGGGAGGGACGATGGGTGGGTGGGTGAGTGGATGGCGGATGATGGCTGGGAGGAGATGCATCTCTCAGCCGTCGTTTCCCAGAAACTGTCATTTTAAGAGCTGACCCTGCATCCCCGTAACACGATGTAGACGTTAGCCTTTCGTCACTTGGAGGAAATACTTTCCTCGGTTACTTTTTACCTCGGAGTTTCACGTTTGTGATGGGGTTTCTCTCTTTCGTTTCAATCTCCGATCGTCCGGAGCTTTTATGGCGTGGGGTGTAGGGGCCGTCTCGCCCGCTGCTTCTCAGCCGCCTCTGTGTTGGGTTGGTGGCCTCGCACCCCGGGACTTCCCTCCTACACGGCTGTGCGCTGGGCCTCAGTGCGTCGTGGGGCCGTGACCGGGAGGGGCAGGTTCTCGCGGCCGGGTGGCCGCGGGCTGCTGCAGCTCTGGCACGGGCACGTCGGTGTGGCTCCGAGGGGCCTGGCCCCCGTTCCCCCGATGGCCCTGCCCTGCCCACAGAAGCGTCCCTCTGCGAGGAGCACAGCTGGCCCCAGGACCATGATGCCTGACTGCTACCGCTTCCCAGGCCGTGGGGATGTGCTCCCACCCGCGGCCTGGCTGGTGCTGAGCGGGCACCGGAATCCACATCCACGTGGGTCCTGGGACCCCCGTTTCCGTTGCTGTCCTTAGAGATCGTGACTTGGGGATCCGGTGTGGCAGAGCCTGTGCCTCAGTGTCCCCGAGCTGATGCTCCTGTGTTTGTTCCCAGCATTACCATCACTTTGGTGACATCCTCAAGGAGACCATGACCAGGACGAGGCAGAACGACCGGCTTCGCAACGCGCTGTCCCTGCTCCTGTGTCTGCAGCAGGTGAGCGGGCCGTTCCGGAAGGTCGGGCGGCGCTCTGCGGCTGCTCCCCGCGGCACCCGGCGTCGCGCGTCGCCTGGGCCTGGAGGGGCGGGCGCCCTCGGGGACACCGTCACGGCCCGCCCCTCGGGAGTCCTGCACCCCCGTCCGTGGCTCGTGAGCAGCCGCTCGAAGGGACGGCGCACGCTGGCGGCTTGGCCACCCCACGCCCCGCGGACGGACAGGGCGGCTGAAACGCCACACCCTCTCCCCCCTGGTTCCGGGGGCTGCGGTCTGAGGCCAGTGTGTCGGTGGGAGGGGGCTGGGGTCACGTTCTGGGGAGGCCTCTGGAGGGTCACGCGGTTCCCTGGGCCGTGTCCCCACGTGGCTGTGGGTGGAGGGCAGGACGCCTGGACACCTTTAAGACACGGAGACACCGTGGGGGCCGCGCCGTCCTGACCCCATCTGCTCCCCGGGGCTCCTGGGGGTGAGGCTTCCACATGTGGACTTGTGGGTGCAGTCAGCCCCCTACGGCCGGCTCCGGCCCCGCCTCAGGCTGTGGGACCTTTGTGTAGGGCTCCTCTGCTCTTCGAGGACGGGAAGACGGAGGAGGATGTGGCCACGGGGTGTCACGGGGTCACAGGGCAGGTGGACATGTGTGCCCACGGCCTCCTGGGGGGATGGGGGGTGTCGCCGCGTGTTCCTGGTCAGGGAGTGGCCGTGCGCCAGCGTGGGGCTGGACTGTCCCCGGGGGAGTCCACGTGTGTCCTCGCACAGTGAGCCAGGGGGACGTCACCCCACCTCCATCCACTGAACCTCAGGGTGGCTGGCTGTCTTCTCCGTGTCCTTCTGTCATGACACCGTGAGAGCGTGTCTGTGTCTTGCGTCCTGTGGGGCCGTTTTACCCACATACGTGGCACCCAGGACCGTGACACGTGGCTTGTTCCGTGCTCTGTTCTGCTGTCCACATGGGCGTGTCTGTCGTGTCACCAGGGCAGGGACGAGGAGGGTCTTGCAGAGCATGTGTTAAGGCTGGCGGGGTCTCAGGCGGACAGACCCTGCGCTGGGGGTGCCGGCCACGTGGTCTCTGTGAGCGCCGTGCGGTTCTCGATGCTCTCGCGCGGCCTCCTTTACCTCGTGCCGTCCTGACGTCTCCCTGCGGAAGCGGACTCGCTCCTCCTCTGGTGGGGCCTCTGCCCGTGACACGTTCCCGTGTCCCAGAGACCCCGGTGCACAGCCTGTCCGGCACCCGGGGTTCTCCAGCCTCCACAGGGTCCGTGCGCGGCGGGCGGCCCCGCCCCCCTGCCTGCTCTGCCTGGAAGGTGGCCGCAGGGCCAGGGTGTCCGTCCTTCGTAAAAGAAAACGCAGACATGATCCAGACTCTGGACACGGGGTCCTGCACGCTGTAGATGTGGTGCCCTCCCCCGGCTCAGGGACACGGACCCCCGGGCCCTGAGACAGCCGGGGGTCGCCGGCACATGCCCACCAGGGCCCTGACCCCGCCGGGTCCCTGCACCCTCAGCTGTTCCAGAAGCACATGGACAAGTACGGTCTGAGCTATGACCCCATCGAGTTCATCTGCGGCCCCTTCTACTCCATCCGGCTGCTCGCCCGCCGCTTTGCGCTCACGCTCGGCTTCGACCGCGCCCGGGAAGCCGCCCACCTGATCCACAGGTGCGCTGCGCGGCCTGGCACCCGCCCGGGGTCCGACACCCGCCCTGCCCTCCGTTGGAGTCCCACTTGGCGCCGCGTCCCCGCTGGGACACCCCGTCCCACGCGCAAGCCCCACCCGACCCTGCACTCCGCCCGCACCTGCCCGACGCCGCGACCCCCGCGGGTGTCCCCGCCGCCAGCCGCGCCCCCGCCCGCCCTCCGCCCCTGCCGACGCCCCGCCCACCGCGGTCTCCCCCGACCCCCCCCCCCAGGCGCGGGCTGGCCTACGCCTTCTCCGAGGTCCCGGTGGCGGAAGATGAGGGCGGCCGCCAGCGCTTCCCCAACCTCAGCTTCCTGCTCCTGCTGGCGGAGTTTTCCTGCAAGATCCCGCCGGCCGAGCGCGGGGCCGCGTGAGTGCGGGAGCCCCGGGGCGGGGCCCCGGGGGCGGGAGGGTTCTCTGCTGCGGCTCCGTCCTGTGCGCTGGGGGCCGCGGACCCCGGGCCCGTCCGGGTCGGGACCGCGCTGCGGGATCCCCTGCGCCCGCCGGCTGGCGCCCTTCCAGCAGGACGGAGCCCCCCGACAGGGCGTGGGCCGCCTGGGGACGCTGGTGGGGTGTCCTCCCGCGCCCCTCCCCCCTCCTCTCGCTACCGTCTCCGCCCCCCACGCCCCCTCCCCCGCCGCCGCCCCCTCACCGGCCCCCTCTGCCCGCAGGCTCGCTCACTTCCAGGATTCCATACCCGAGGGCGTGCCCAGCTTCGGGGAGAAGGACATGAACCCCTTGCTCGTGTACCGCAAGTCCTTGACGAAGACCGACGAGGCGGCCCAGGGCGACGACGACGAGGAGGAGGAGCCCGCCGCCAACCCCTTCGACGCCATCTGCAAGGAGAGCAAGCGGCCGCAAGGTGGGGGCGGGGTGGGGAGGGGGCGGGCGGGCGGCCGCGGCCCTGTGGCTGACCGTCCCTGCGCCGCAGAGCTGCCGGCGGCGACCTGCTCCAGCTGGACTGCGGACGCCGCCGCCGCGGGGGCCCCGGAGCCGAGAAACCCGTCCAGGAGCCCCGACTCCGCGAGGTGAGCGGCCTGCGGGTCTGTCGGCGCCCCGGTCAGCGCGGGGCGTTTCCAGCAGAGCGCGCGGGGGGGGGGGGGGGGGGGGGGGGGGGGGGGGGGGGGCTCGGGTCCCGCGGGGGCCTGTGGCAGGGGTGGGGTCCTGTCTCAGGAGGGCAGGGGCGTGGGCACTGCTCTTCTGTAGCTGGGGCTCTCCCCACCCCCCACCATCCACAGCTTCCAAAGGGGTCGCGGGGGTGTTAGAGGTGCTGCGAGGCCCACACCCTGGGGCTGTGCTCCCTCCGCGTGTCTCCTGCATTCTGCCCTGCGGTGCACACTTCCTCTACAGCTCAGGCTCCGGAAGTGCCCCGACCCCTTCCGCCCCCCCCGCTTTGCCCCCCCACCCCCAGCCTGCCCCCTGCTGCCCGACTGGCCATCCTTCCTGTGGGTCCCTGTCCCCCAGCCCTGTTGCCTGCACCAAATGGCCTCCAGCCCCTAAGTAGCCCCCTTCCCCCAGGGGGCTTCCTGCCCCCCCCCACATGGGGACAGAGACCCTCCAGGAGGCAGAGTCCCTGGGGCCTTGGGTGCTGCCCTTCCCGTGGGGAGGTCTGGCCATCGGGCGGCTTCTCCGCAGGGACGTCTTTGACGTGGACTTCCTGTCGGAGGACTCGGACAATTCGTCCGCCGAGGACGTGGACGTGGAGGGCATCTCCGTGCAGGTCAGCGCCCCCTGCGCCTCTGGGCGGTGGTCTCGCGGGGGTGCGGACTTCGGTTCTGGGGTGCGTCTTCTGTGGCCACGGCCCTTACAGGTCCCCTCTGGAGGCGGGATGGCTCGTCGGGGGGGGGGGGGTGTCCGGGTGGCCTCTGGGCCTGTGTGTGCTCCCCGGAGACTCAAGCCCCCGTCTGAGGGCGCACCAGGCGTCTGCCGTGCGGACGCTCCCCTGGGGGCTGCCCGGTGCTCTGGCCACACCGTCTGCTCCAGGCTCATCAACGTTCTCGGGGTCTGAGGCCGGCAGGGTGGGGCTCCCGCCTCGGCCCCTGTGGCCCAGAACCAGGTTTTGGGGTGTCCTGCACCTCTGCTGGCTCCCGCCCAGCTGCCCCAGGGCTGGTGGGGCCGGGCGGGCGTCTGTGGGCCTGCGACGGCCGTGAGAGCAGCAGAGGCTCCTGGCCGGGCGCCCCGAGGCCTCCAGAGACGGGGTCGGTGTACCGGCCGGGGGTCCTGGGCCGCAGCGGTTTCTGAAGGCCGTCCCGCGCCCCCCGGTTCTGCGTCCCCTCACCGCTCGCTCTGCCCCAAGCAACCGCTGTGCGCTCGGGCTCCAAGGCCTGCTGGGCGGGGGTCCCGTGTGGCCGCACACCCCCGGTTCAGAACCTGACCGGGTAGCCAGCCCGGACCGTGGCGTGCACGATTTTCTATCCGTCTGTCTGTCCGTGTGTGTCCTGAGGGCTGTCCTGTTCGTCCCCAGGGAGGATCGGACTGAAGAGGAAGTCCCCCCTCATCAGGAGCACCCCCCATCAGGAGCTCCCCTTCCATTGCTGTGCTCTGTCCCCATGGCCACCTGTTCCCGGGGTCGGGGAGCCAGGCCCTGCGGTTCTCCAGGCGGTAACAGTGACCCCACCATCTGCACCAGTGGATCCGAACCCCCAGACGTGGGAAAGGGCCATGTGACCGCTGACTGGGACCTTGGGGCGCTCACCCACCCAGGTGCCTACCGGCTTGCAGCTTTCTCTCCGGGCAACTGCTGTGCTTGGCTGGAAGATTCCACAAGCAGCTCTGTTCTCCACGGTGGAGCATGGTGCTGGCTCCCTGGTCCCCGCGGTCCAACGAGCTGTGGCCCTGCGTGGCCGCCAGCTGCTCCTGGCACACCCGGGCCCCGAGTCTGCTCAGCACGTGGACGGAGTGGGCTGCATCTGACTCGGGGCGCGGGCCCGGGCCTCCCTCCTCGGACACGCAGGGTGGGCGCTCTGCCCTTCAAATCTCGTGTTGGTGCCAAACCAGACTCTTCGCGGCCACTGTGTGGAGGGGGGCGGCTCCGTGCTCATCCCGCACGGGGGAGAGCCAGCCCCCTGCGCACGTGGGGCAGGCACTGGCCTGGGGGGGACGTCTTGTCCCCTCACCCCGCCCCCCCTCCCCTCAGCACTCTGGAAGCTGCCGTGGAACGTGCGGCCCCTGGCCACGAGGGGACGGCTACCAGCTGGGAGCCTGTGACCCTCGGCCGGGCTTCCCGCCCCCAGAGCGGCTCTCCCCCGGGGACCCTGCCCCCTTCGCGTCGCTACCTGGTGTTCGTGCCCTCCGTGACTGTGTGTGCGGTGCTGTGTGTGCGGTGTCTGTGTTGTGGGCTGGGCACGCCGAGCCTGGCACGGGAAATCTGTAACTTCTTTATTTGAAAATACAAATGTGATCTCGTAAAACGTTTTTAAACCGCTATACACACCAAATAAAAGTTAACTTTACACATTTTGTACATTTACATGAAAACGTAAGTACGCTGGAGGGGGCGCCCCCTCCCACACCCTGCGTGGAGGGTCGTGGCCCAAGCACACGGAAGGTCTGGGGCTTCTGGAATGTTCCTGACCGACTCCGCGAGAACAACACAGGGCCGCCCAGAAGTCTGCCACAGCTTGAGAGCCCAGGGCAGGTCCTCCGGGGCGGAGCCGTCGGCCACGCCGGGTAAGTGTCCACGTGCCTGAACTTGACGGCAGTGGGGCCCACCGGCCCCTCCCGGCCAGACAGTGTGACTGGCTTCCAAACTGAATAAATAAAAATTCATCATCCCATACAAACCACTCCGTTTCCTATAAAAGACAGCTCAACGATCAAACAGTTTCGGCTTTTACACAGAAGCTGCAGTGCCTGCAGCCGGATGGCGCGGACGCCCCGCGGGCACGGGTCACGAGGGCTCCAGGGCGTCGTCGTCGCACGCGTACTCGTACAGGTCCACGGTGCCCAGGGCGGAGGGTGCCTCGAAGAAGGGCCGCTGGGCCAGCGGAGACCTGAGGGCGCCCAGCTTCTGGTCCACGGGGCTGAGCTCCGCTTCGTACCTGTAAGGAGGGGCTGCTGAGTGCGGCGGGGGTAGGGGTGCGGTGGGGCGGGCAGCGCGGGGCAGAGTCCCCTCCCCTGCGGCCGTGCTGCGGACACCCCGCAGTGAGGGGCCGTGGACGCCAAGGGCACCCGGCGGAACTGGGCCTTCGGTCTGGACGGGCTCCGCGGCTGGGGGGTGGGGGGTGGGGGGGCGGGGCGTGGTGGCCGACAAGCTGGGAGGCGGACGGGGCCACCGTCCCGCCCACGGGAACGCGCTGTCCCTGCACAAGTCCCCGGGCGCTAAGAAAGTGCTTACACACGGACGGTACCCGAAACCGAGAGGAGACTGCAGGAGCCCCGCGCCGGGGGGAGCGCACGGCGGTGAGGCCACCTCAGGGCGCCCGGGGGCCCCAGCCCGTCCCGTGTCTGACTCGTGGTTTTGGCGTAGGCCCTGATCTCAACGGCTTGTGGGTTTGAGCCCCTCTGTTTGAGCACAGAGCCTGCTTGGGACTCTTCCTTTCTGTGCCTCGCCCCTGCTCATGCTGCCCGCCCCCCAACGTAAATGAAAAAACCCCGCTTTTCCAGCCCCACATTAGGAAGAACTTAAATGACAAACTCGAGATAAGCCACGTGCCACAAAATGGTGGCAGAACATGACAGATCCAAGTCCGCAGAGCGCGTGCCCGTCTGCGGGTCAGGAGGTGCAGGAGGCATCTCGGGGGGCCGCCGGCTCCACCCCGGATGCGGCGCCCATAAACAAGTAACGGAAGCTTCCGTCTATTTTTTTTTTTTTTTAAATGTTTTTATTTATTTCTAGGAGAGAGAGAGAGACAGCGTGAGCAGGGGAGGGTCAGAGAGAGAGGGAGACACAGACTGAAACAGGCTCCAGGCTCTGAGCTGGCAGTCAGCACAGAGCCCGACGCGGGGCTCGAACCCACGAACCGCGAGATCATGACCTAAGCGAAAGTCGGACGCTTAACCGACTAAGCCACCCAGGCGTCCCTAACTTCCGTCTATTTTGCAAGCACGGACCAGCGATCTTCAGACCCGCACGCAAAGGGCGAGGAACCAACGTGACCACGAGGAAGTGCGTGGGCAGAAGGGGACCCCAGGGCCGAGGGGTCACGACCCGCTGCAAACACAAAGCCAGGTGGTTGGTGAAAACACAGACACAAACACACGGCCCGAAATGCACCCGGCAGCCTGCGTGTGGACCGTCCGACCCCGACCTGGCACCCAGCCTGAGGGACTCGGGGAGGCCACGGGGGATCCCACGATGCCTGCAGAAGGGCGAAGACACGCGCGGCCGAAGGGTGGTGATGAGAGGCCTCCCTCTGTGACCTCACTCTGCCCGTGACCTCCGTCCCCGCCCCTGGTCTGCAGCGGGGCAGACGCAGTGCTGAGCCCACGCACACCGCCACCAACCGCGCATGTCACATGACCTGGACTAACCACACCCACACCCCACGGAACTCAAGTGCCCACAGCTCCGCACGTCAACACAAGGCACCAGAATGTGCACCCAACGGCCGTGGCCCCGCGGTCGGCACTGGTGTCCGTCACGGGACACGGAGGCCACAGCTGAGCGAGACACGGACACGCGGCAGCTCATCGGCGGGTCTCTGGGGAGGCACCACGTGCCAACGAAACCGCAGCTGCCGCCTCGGAGACCTAGCGGACGGCCCCGGGTGGCGCTGGGCCGAGGCGGCACGTCCCTGAGGTGGCCTCCGCGGGGCCGGGAGCACTGGAGGCCACCCTGGGACGCGCCCTACTGCTCGCCTGACACCGGCTGAGAGGTCACGGCCGCGGGCAGACCTGTGTTGGAGGGGACACAGGCGGGTGGCCGCTCTGGGCCGCGGCTGCGCGTTGTGCGTGGAGGGTCCACGGCCGGCCCCGCCTGACCTCAGCCCAGGGAAGCGCAAACCCGCGTGTATACAGGCCGCGTGGGGGCGGTTCACGGTGCTACTCCTCTCACCTGCCAGGAGCCCAGGGGAGGCCACCCGACGGGCGTCACCTGTAGCAGGAAGGACCCCGCCGACCCGGTGACGTGCACAGTTCTCCCCACCTCGTGCCCGCAGAGGCCGGTGTGAAGGGACCGCGCGTTCCGCTGCTGCGACACCCGGAAAAGCGCGGTGACCGGATGCAGACCAGCGCCAGCCAGGGGCCGAGTGGGGCGGGACCTGGGGTGCTGGACGCCCCCCCGGAACTCAAACTCTCTCGAGTGGGAGTCAGGACGCTGGAGGCCCCGTGGCCACAGAGCAGGGGTGGAGAGTGACTCTCTGACTCCGGCTCTGCTCCCGGCCCCGCAGGACGCGGACCCGAGTGCCAGGCGGCCCTGAGGGGCAGGAGGCGGTGGGCAAAGGCCTCTGGCGGGAGCAGAGAGCCGCCTGCGCCCGTCGGGTGCGCGTGTGGACGCCGGAGCCCTCGCCCATCTGCACCCCTGCAGGCCTGGCTACCCTCCTGGGAACAGATGCCCTGACGATCGGCCATGGGGAAGGGGGCATCGTCCGCACACGGGCCTCGCGTGCAAACACCAGACCGGGTTCGCGGCGGCGGGGACTCCGTGAGGGTGTGTCGGGTCGTCGCTCCTGAGCTGCGCTTTTGGACCCCAGCCCTGCGGTGCGTCCGCCGTCCAGGCCCCCCTCAGTGTGGCGGGGGAGGGGGATGACCCGGCAGGACACGACCCAGGTTCCTGGGTGACTCACGCAGGGGTGGAGGCGGGAGGGAGTCCGCCGTGACGCGGGGTGCGGGGCACGCGGCACGTCAGGGCGCTCGCGGGCCGGGCCTCACGCGGGACACAGCAGGGGCCGCTCTGGGCCGTCCTGGCTGCGGCTCGCGGGTCCCAGCCCGAGGGGACAGGGCGGTGGCACGGAGGGTCTGTTCCCAGGAGGGGGGCGGGCAGGGGCCGGGGCCCCCGGGGGGCTGGGAGCGTGGGACAGGGGCCCCTCGGAGCCGTGCTGGGTTCCGGCCGCTGCGCCTGCAGAAATTTCTTTCGGGTTCAGGACACCCGCAGCCACTCCCGCCCGGGGTCCCTTCTGACAGACGTCGGTCACGCGGTGTCGCGGGCCGTCCGAAGCAAGGGGGCAGCCCCGGCCCCAGGCTCCGTCTCTGGCCTGAGCCCTTCTGGGGTCGGCCGCACACTCACCCGTCCTCCCACGGCTCCCCCGCGGCCTCCTCGGCCACCAGGATGTCGTACTCCTCGGCGGCGTACTTCTCCCAGTCGGACAGCTCGGGGCCTTCGCTCTCGCTCTCCTAGACGACACACGCGCGTCACGCGGCGCAGAGGCGGCCGGCGCCCCGCGCCCCCTGCCACACTCACCCTGAGCAGGGACACCTGCTCCTTCTGCTCGTGGTCGAGGTATTTCTCGATGTTGAAGAAGGTGTCGAAGAACACGTTGGCCAGCTTGCACTTCTTCAGGTCGCGCAGCGTGATCTTGCCTGCGGGACGCGGAACGTGTGCGGACGTGACCCCGGGGCGCTTCCGGGGGCACGAGGCGGGCACGCGCCACGACTTGCCTTGAAACACGTGACACAACCCTGCGCTCTGACGCAGCTGGACACAGAACACACACAAGAGGGTCCCCGGTGTTGGGGGGGGGCGCTGGGGACCAGAGGCCTGGGTTCCGTGCCCCGGAACGGGCAGGAAGACAGAGCGAACGAGGAGCGCAGGAAGAGGGAGGGAGTCTGGCCACCAGGGGGCGCCCGACGCGGGGACAGGAGGGCCCGGACCCCAGGACGACACACCCAACGGCCCCGGCAAAGGCTTCCTCCCAGACACGGGAAGCCTCGCTCCGTCCCCGCGAAGCTGCCCCGCTGTCCCTCGCGTGCCGCTGGGGGGGGCCTCCCCCGGGGTCACAGGCTTCTCCGCCGAGGGGCGTCAGGAGGACCCAGGTGGGACCCCCCTGACGCCCTGGTTGACCCGAGGTCTGGGCACCGTGCGGAGGGGCTGGAGCCGGCTGCGGAGGGGAGGGCCCGTCCCGCTCAGGGGGAAGAGCAGGGAGCAGAGGCGGCGCGACACGGGGCAGGGACACCTGCCAGGCGGGACGGCTGTGCTCCCCCCACAGCGCAGGGCCTTCGCCTCGGGGGAGGGCCGAGGGGGGCGCTGGGACCCGAGCGGGCACGGCCGAAGGTGGGCTCTTGCGACACGTGGTTGGTACCAGCCGCCCCGAGGCCCCGCTCACCCCGTCGCCAACTCGGAGTGGCCGTTACCTGAGTGCGTCCCTCACACAGGGGGCACGTCTTCTTACACGAGCGTCACTCACGCAGGGGCCATCGCACCTCACGCAGGGCGATTCCTCACACGGGGGGGCATCTCATGGGGGGTCACCTCCTCACGGGGACATCCCACCTCGGAGCCAGGCACTTCCTCACACGGGGGGGGGATCTTCTCACGGTGGGGGGACATCCCACCTCACACAGGGGGGCATCTCCCCACACGGGGGGGCATCATGGGGGGCACCCCCTCACGGGGAGACATCCCACCTCACACGGGGGGCACCTCCCCACACGGGGGTTACCTTCGCTCCGCGGCTTCACCAGGTCCAGCATCTGGCACAGGCAGTCCTCGAAGGGCAGGGCCTCGATGGCCATGCTGTCCAGCCGGCGGCACTGCTCCTCGTAGAAGTAGTCCAGCTCGAACATGGACAGCGCCCCGTCCCCATCCAGGTCCATGCAGCGGAACCAGTACTCGATGCTGAGGGGGCAGCAGGTCGGGGCGAGCCTCGGGCAGGCCCCAGCGTCTGGGAGGGACCCCGCCCGGGGGCCTGTCCTCGCCGGGACGGAGCCGCTAGCCCGGGCCCCCCAACCGCTGTCCCCGAAGAGGACTCGCGCGACCGCCGCCGAAACACGTACCTGGTTGGGGTTTTTTTGTCTTCTTCGGAGATCAGAAACCAGACGAAGTCGGCGTAGCTTATTTTCCCTTCCTTCTGCACCTTTCTGCCCCTGGGTTCCGGGCCGGGCGCGGTCAGGGAGAAGCGGCGTGAGGCGGGGCGTCGCGGGGACCAGGTTCTGCCCTCGGCTCCCGCTGGGGGAGGCGCCCAAGGACGGGGCAGGGGTGGCCGCCTGCCTCCGTCACGGCCGCCGCGTAGCCTCTGGTGCCCCTGCTCCAGGGCTCCCTCCGATGCCTGGGGCTCACGTGACCCACCCATGCGGGGCCTGTCCCCAGCCACCCGACACGTGACAACAGCATTTGCCCCGACTCCTGACCCCACGTGTCAAGGACGTGTGTCCCCTCCTTCGTGCTCTTGTGTAACGGAAGCGTGGATGACCTTTACGATACGGGACAGAGCGCAGTCTCCCTTTGCTACGAGCTTGTGTGACCTGCTTTCGGTGACCCTCACGTGACAATGACACCTGTCCTCCCTCATTTATGACCTCATGTGACAACAGCACGTGTGTCCTTATGTGGTCACACAATGACGCTCATTCTCAACACGAGGTCACATCAGGCAGCGAACGAGAGAACGGGACCCAGGACACGGAACGGGCCACGGCCGCTGGCAGCGCTGGCCGTGAGACGTACCTGGTCACCGCCCCCGAGAATATCCTCTCGATCATCTTGGTGGAGATGGCTGCGGAGACGGAATCGTGCCGTGAGCCGCGTGCACGCGCCCGTGGTCACGGCCCGACCTCACGCGAGCCGGCTGAGCGGCGCAGGCTCGGTCAGGAGTGCGCACACCCAGGCCGTGAAGGGGCGCGCCCAGAGGACCGGGCCCTTCTGCACGCGTCCTCCCCAGGCCGCTGCCCGGACCTCTCCTGTCTCGAGGACGGAGCCCAAATCCCGGGAGCGGGAAGCGGACCCAGAGGCTCCGACACACGCGGACCTGAGCGCCAGGCACATGCAGACGCGCGCTTTCGGGCGCTCCGACCGCAGCGCTCTCGCTCCGTGATCAAAGCCAGGTGCGTCTAACCCACACCTGACACCGGAGAGGTGACCGCGTCGGTCGGCTGGTGCGCCCGTAACCACCCGGCCCTGCCCCGGCAGCTCCCACGGCACACATTCCCCTCGCCCAGGGCTGCGGGCGGAGAGTCTGAGATGCAGGCGGGCAGGGCTGGTGTCCTTGCCGTGTGGACGCTGTCCTCTCCCCGCGACCTCACGTGGTTGTCCCGTATGCATGTCTGTGTCCTCACCCCCTCTGCGCGTGAGGTCACCAGCCCTATGGGATCAGGGCCCACTCGACTGGCCTTATTTTACCTTAATTCCCTCTTAAAAAATTATTTTTTTTTAAAGTTTTTTAATTTCTAGGAGAGAGAGTGTGAGCAGAGGAGGGTCAGAGAGAGAGGGAGTCACAGACTCTGAAACAGGCTCCAGGCTCTGAGCTGGCAGTCAGCACAGAGCCCGACGCGGGGCTCGAACCCACGAACCGCGAGATCATGACCTGAGCGAAAGTCGGACGCTTAACCGACTGAGCCACCCAGGCGCCCCTTAAAAAACTATCCTTATGTTTGTTTATTGTTGAGACAGAAAGAAACAGAGTATGAGCGGGGGAGGGTCAGAGAGAGAGGAAAACACAGAATCGGAAGCAGCTCCAGGCTCCGAGCCGTCAGCACAGAGCCCGACGCGGGGCTCGAACCCACGAACCGTGAGATCGTGACCTGAGCCAAAATCAGACGCTTCACCGACTGAGCCACCCCGGCGACCCCCCAATCTTCTCCTTAAAAATGCCACTTCCATTGACAGCACCGTTCTGGGGTCCCAGGAAATGCGGCTCCAGCAAATGAGTTTGGGGGGTGGGCCCCGGCTCAGCCCACAAGACGGGGAAGCGGAGATGAAGTCTCCTTCCACATCGCCCCATTCAGCCTATGCTGAGGGATGTCAGCCTGACACAAATCAACCGGAGGCCACGCGAGGCTAAACTGTCTAAGAAACGTGCGCCTCCTGATGTCTGGCGTCTGCATGTGGGTCCTTAAGTGGAAGTAGGTGTTTGCAGATGCGATTAAGTAAAAGATCTGAAACGAGGTCATCCTGAATGATCAGGGTGGCCCTAAATCCAATGAGCATCCTTACAACAGACAAAAAAGACACACATAAAGGAGAAGCCACGTGAAGACGGAGGCAGAGACGGGGACACGCGGCCACGAGCCCAGGGACCCTGGAGCCCCAGAAGCTGGGAGAGGCGGGAAGGACCCTCCCCTGGGGCCTCAGGAGGGAGCTCAGCCCCGCCCCGCCTGGGTCTCAGTGGCCCCGCCCCTGGATCTGAGCGGCCCCGCCCATCTCAGAGGCCCCACCCCCACGGATCTCAGAGGTCCTGCCCCCATCTCAGCAGCCCCGCCCCCAGCTCAGCGGCCCCGCCCCCTGGATCTCAGACTCTGGTCTCCAGAGGTGAAGAAGGATGGACTCCTGCTGTTGGATGACCCTGACTGGTTTGTGTGCAAAGTTGTGCACAGCCGTCCTAGGTGACGATCCTTCATAAATTCCTTGACTCTAAACCTCGAGTCTTCAGACGGACGCAGGATCCTTCCCTATTGCTCTGGGCCCCCCGTGTTTCAGCCCCAGGGAACTAGGGTGACACGCCGACGCACAGATCCTGAGAGCACGGAACAGTGAAGGGAACCTGTGTGTGTGGCTGCAGAGGACAGGGCCAGCTCCGACCCCCCACCCTGCCCAGCTGCCATCGCCCGCGTGACACAGCCCTGTGGACACCAACACCCTGACGTGGGGCCTGCTCACGTGGGCAGCTCGGCCCCCTGTATGTCCACGTGTTCCCCTCTTCCGTGTGCCTCAGGTCCCACGCGTCCCCATCTCCTGTGTGCCCTGCATGTCCCACGTGTGTCCACGTGTCAGCTGTGCACACCCCGCGCCTCCCGTGTGTCCCGTAGCATGTGCCAGCCCGCACACGGTAGGGAAGAACGAGAGAGGAAGGCAGTTTTAGGCACCGGGACACCGGCCCCGCGGGAGGCGGCCACGGCCAGGGGCACTGGACAGAGCGGGGTGCCCGAGGGGCCAGCACTCGTGGGTCCCCCCCGCGCCACTCAGGCCGCGCGCTCACCGTGGTCATTGTGCCGGGCCAGGTCCTGGGCGTCGATGAGGAGGTCGTGGTCCGTGTCCAGCTCCCAGAACTTGCAGTAGATGACGTAGAAGTGCTCGTACGAGAAGTACTCCGTCAGCTGGTTGATGTCGGCCTCCTCTTCCAGGAGGGCCACGTTCTGCCAACCGAACCCGACACGCCCGCTGCACCCGGGTCTGCACAGCCTCGCGGGCGCGGGCCCCCCAGGCATCTGTTCCGACAGGCCGGAGGGTCGGGAGCACAGCGCCCGGGGCGGGGCAGGTGGGGCCCAGGTCGGCAGCAGGAGCCCTGGGGGCGTCCGTGCCCCGCCCGCCGCGGCCCCCCCCTCACGACTGCCCATGTGTCCGAGGAGCCCGAGTAGGAGGGCACCCGGCTCCCCAGTTCCCACGGGCCCGGGAAGGGTGGGGTGGTTTGTCGGTGAGCACATGGGTGCAGCGGACGCTGCAGAACAGAACAGAGCGCTGCAAGAACGATGAGGGGAGGGGGAGGGGGGTGGACGACGCGGAAGAGAAGGGTGGAGGACGGGAGGGGGGAGGGGGGAGGACGGAGGGTCCAGGATGGGAACAAATGTGTGGGCTGGAAGCCGGAGGTCGGGGGAGGCCGCGGAGCGCAGGCGGAAGGGCGGGCACGGAGGGCGGACGTGTGCAGCCCCGCGTCGCCGGGCCGGCCGCCCACCTGCAGGAAGGAGCTTCTCCGCAGCTCTGCACACGTGATCCTCCCCGACCACGACCTGTTGACGCTGTAGAAGATCCTCTGAATGACCTGCGGGAGGAAGGCCGTCGGCCGAGCGCCCGGGCCCCGGGGGACGCGCGCCCCGTGTCGCTGGCCGAGGCGCCCGCTCTGCACGTGCCCGACGGCCGGGCTGGGGGCGAGGGGGCCTCCGGGCCACAGGGAGGCACCGGGGTCTGCCTGCCTGCCCACCAGGGTCCTGGCACCCCTGAGCCAGGTGGCTGGGGGCGGGGTGGCAGCCCTCGCAGCGTGGGCAGCTCAGAACCTGCTCTGAACGCGGCCGCACGCGCCGCAATCACCGCCGGCTCTGAAGCACCAGCCGAGGCTGCCCACCGGGTTCAGCTCTGAACCCCAGACGGGGACGGCCTGTCTCCGCCTGTCCCCGCCCGTGAGGACAGGACGCCTGAAGGGGGACGCGAAGCCTCACACGCGCTCGGCCCCGGGGCTCCTGGTTCACGCTCACACCTCCGGGCCCCTTCCCTTCCCCATGACCCCAGAGGCCGGCGAGGCGACCCAGGACAGGACGGCGTGCGGACCCCCCGGGCAGACAAACAGCACACGCGTGCACGTCCCCGGTCACAGCACCCGCGTGTGCAGCCAGCGGGAGTGCCCAGTGCAGAGGGGGCTCTGGGGGTGGGGGCCGGGTGGCCAGTCCCCTGCATCCCGGGCAGCCGGCGCCCGGACACAGGGCTTCACGGGGCTTCAGGGAGCGGGCGAGGCTGCAGCATCCCCCACCCCAGGCTCCGCGGCCACAGGCCAGCCCTGTCCTGCACAGGGAAGGGAGCACAGGGTCCAGGGGCGGCCGGCCGGGCCAGGTACTCACCGTGGTGATGTAGCGGGAGTGGAACTCGGACGCCTCCTTCAGGAAGGCCAGGCCAGGGTGCGTGTTCACCACGTCCTGTGCGGAAGACGAGACGGACTGGGGGATGTGCCCTGGGGGGGGGGCTTTGCACACGGCATGCTGACCACCCAGCTGCTGGTACCCATGACACCACTGTGAACCTGTGTGTGTGAGTGTGCTGTGTGTGTGACCGCCACGTGAGCATGCTATGTGTGTGAGCGTGCCGTGTGTGAGCGTGCCGCCCCCTTAGCCTGTGGGGGAGGGACTGCAAGGCAGGTTCCCGCCACGACCTCCCCATCGGCCGTGACCTGACAGGCTGGGACAGCCCCGCGCAGGTGCGTGCGAGTGTGAAACACCCTCAGGTCTGAGCTGCGCTCGTGTGGGCCGTTAGGTCCCATCCGCTGGGACAGGGAGCTCCTGGGAGGAGCTACTGACACGTGGCCACGTAACATTCAACTGCGGTGGTGGGTATCTGCACAAAACGTTCTAGAACACCACAGCCTGTTCTTACACGGCAGACGACCCAGGCGGGGGCTGGAGTCCCCAGCGCCGTGGCCCCACCACACACACGCCAGTACCGCGTGGGGACACACGGTCCCCCCCCCAGTTACACACGCCTGAAGGGGCTGGTCCCCAGGCCACACCTGTGGGAAGCTCTCCTGAGGACAAGCCGGCATCCGGCGTAGATGCTGAGGCTCATCCTGAGGAGGGAGGTGTGCGGCGTAGACGCTGGGGCGTACCTGCAAGAAGGGGACGAAGTCCTCCTGCACCAGGTAGTTGCAGCCGGGACTCATAAGCAGGTGGACGAACTTGGCCGCGTCGTCGTGACAGTTCTGGAGGGTCCTGTGGCGACGGAGGGCGTCCAGCCGGGCCCGCGGCAGGTGCTGGGCGGGACCGGGGCCGGCAGGCGGGTGGTGGGCGGGATGGGGGGGGTGCCTCTCTGAGGGTGGTGGGCGGGACCCGGGGGGGTCTCTGAGGATGTGGGAGGGACCGGGAGGGGGGTTCTCTGAGGGTGGTGGGCAGGATCGGGGGGGGTGTCTCTGAGGATGTGGGCAGAACGGGGGGGGGTCTCTGAGGATGTGGGCGGGACGGGGGGGGGGTCTCTGAGAATGTGGGCGGGACGGGGGGGGTCTCTGAGGATGTGGGCGGGACAGGGGTAGTCTCCGAGGGTGGTGGACGGGACGGGGGGTTTCTCTGAGGTACGTCGGTGGGACCCAGGGGGGTGTCTCTGAGGGTGGTGGGCGGGACGGGGGCCGGCGAGGTGGGTGGTGGGCGGGACCCGGGGTGGGGGAGTCTCCGAGGGTGGTGGGCGGGACCCGGGGCGCAGCCGGCACGAAGGAGCCCGGAAGGGACAGGATGCTGGGCCCCACAGCTGAGGGGTCAGCTCCCTTCTCTCGCCATCTCGGCCACAGGACCACGGGCTCATGATGCAGTGGCTGCCGGTGGCTCTCGGGGGACCCGGGGTCGTCTCCCCCCCCCCCCGGCCCCCGACTCACTTTCTCCACATGGCGACGAACTTGTGCACGGACACGGCGCCCGTGCGCTCCCCGCCCGCGCTGCAGAAGAGCGGCCCCTTCCAGTAGAGCGGGCAGCCGCAGGCCTGCGGGCGGCACGGCGGCGGTGAGGTGGCCCGGCATGCACCGCGCCGCCCACCCCCACGGGGCCGCCCAGCGCCGAGCCCAGCGGTCCTGCCCGGCATGCACCGCGCCGCCCGCCCCACGGGGCCGCCCAGCGCCGAGCCCAGCGGTCCCGCCCCGCGCGCCCCGGCATGCACCGCGCCGCCCGCCCCACGGGGCCGCCCAGCGCCGAGCCCAGCGGTCCCGCCCCGCGCGCCCCGGCGATCCCAGTCGGATCGGAAGTCGTGAAGCAGCAGCGCCGGGCCTTCCCCGCGCAGCGCACGGAACGCGGGGGCGGCGTCCAAGCGGACACCGGGACAAGCGAACGCACACATTCAATACGGAAACACGGAGCCGAAAGCCAGTTCTCTGAAGCTCTGAGCAAAAGCCACCCGTCAGGGAGACCTGCCAACAAGTGGAGGAAACACGGCCGCGAGTGCGCTGCCACTGCAGCCGACACAGGACGGCTTCACGTGGCCGCTGATCGGGGGTCTGAGCGGACACACACAGCGGGTTCCGTGCGTCTGAAAGTCGGAACCCTGCCCCACAGCAGAGTCCAGACCCCGAGGGCCCGCCTACGAGCCCGCTCAAACATTCGGGGGACAAATCGTACTGACCGCACACGGGCTCGCGCAGCGGCCACGCGTACGGGGCATTTCCTCACTCCTGTCACGAGCGCCGCACGTACCCCGAAATCTGTCAGACGCAAGGAGGATTAGGGGCCGGTCATCAATCGGGAACGGAGATCCCGAAATCCTACAGAAAACGCGCGTCAGCAGAGGGATCCCGGCGTTAAATAAACAGTAGGTAAGAAACGACAGGGAAACTAAGGACAGACAAGATCTGTTTTCTGCTTCCTTTATTTAAAACTTTTAGTAACATCTACACACAGCGCGGGGCTTGAACTCGCACGAGGGTCACACGGCAGGCTGAGCCACCAGGCGTCCCGGGAATACTTACCCGAACCACAGCAAACTGCAGGAAAGCCCCAGCCACGTCCCACGCTGGGTGACGCCTGCAGACGGGCCGGAGCCGGGACCACGCGAGGACGGCGGGAGGGAGGTCCCAGGGGCCGCGACAGGCCGAGCAGCAGGCCCGCCAGGCGCTCTGGGAGAGGGATGTGCAGACGCCCACACGCCTGTGGACCCTCGCTCAGCATCAGTGCCCGTGACGAGGACGCCAGAAGGCGCGGGAGAAGTCAGCAGGCCCGGACGAGCGACCCACCCCACAGCAGGGCCTTACACGACGGCTGTATGTCCAAGCCCTGGGGTGCTGGCCTCAAGCAGGGTCCTGGAGCAGCTGCGTGTGGGTGTCCCGAGGTGACCCGGGGCTGGAGAAGCCAGAGGGAAGGGACACCCCTGCCCGAGCGTGACCTCTGATTGCACAGACCTGCAGCACATGGCTGGTGGCCCGGGTGGTGCACTGGAAGCAGGCTGCAGGGACCCCATGCGGTGCCAGGAGCGTCTGGGGGCCTGGTCTGGGAGGTGGTCACGTGCACGCGGGGCGTTCGCAGCACCCAGGACCGGGGATGGGGGCCCTGTGGCCTCTCCTGGCTCCGTGAGGCTGTCCCGGAAGCGACAAGTGCAGTGCAGCTGTTTGCCCTGTCCTGTGAGGGGCCATGCCCAGGTCCCTCCCCCCCCCATGGCTGGGCGCACCCCGTGCCTCCGCCGCCTCTCAGGACGCTCTGTTCATTTTTTGAAGTGATGGGAAACATCACCTCTGAGGCGCAACAGGCACAACAGTAGCGTGTGAATAGCATAAAACTGTCACCGCAGAGAAAGGCACGTCATGTGATGACATGTCACTTCCCATTAGCAACACAGAATGGACATGCAGGAAGACACGCCTCCACAGGCGCCCGCAGATGCACAGGGCGTGTGTCTGCCCATGGTCAGAAGAGCCAGCTCACCCCCCACGTCGGCGAACCCCAGCCACACGCGGCAGCCCCTGCTTCCCTCTGCTGGAATGTTCTAGAAGGGGGAGCACGCCTTCCGGCCGGGCTCTCACTCAGCATCATGCCTCTGAGGGACACAGCTCTGCTGTGACATGTGTGAAGTAACGGGGATGCGTCCTGGCCACTGTCCCGCCCCAGCACCGCACAGTCGAAACCTCGGTGGATCCCGGGGGACACGGTGCTGGCACACAGCCTGCTCCGACACTGCGTGCTTCGCTCCCGACCCGGCGCAGACTCCCCATCCCTGCGGTGTCCAGGCTGACAGATGCGTCTCTTGTAAGGAGGGGCCCTGGGCGGGCAGGACAGCAGACGGCTAAGCCCACGGGTCCCACTCAGGGAGCTCAGTCCACACTGTCCCTGGGGGAAAGGCCTGGGGATGGGGTAGTGATGCATCACACCTACATGGTGATGCTTCCATGGAAGCAGAGGTGAGGTGGAGAAGCCTCCGTGGAAGAAGAGGTGAGGTGGAACCTCCATGGAAGCAGAGGTGAGGTGCAGAGCACCTGAGCAGGGGGAGGGTGGCGCGTCCACCCATGGGACCCTCCCAGCCCACACCCTGCCTGCCTCTTCCTCGGTCTGCACCCCCACCGTCCCCCAGGGAGGGGCCGTGGGCACCCCCAGGTCTACGGTTGCTTGCTCGGTGCACAGGTGACAACTGCGGCTGGGGACGGGCATGAGGAGTGGGCGACCCTGGGGGACACAGCCCCTCGCCCCCGGAATCCGTGTTACCCTGCGGGGCAGTGCCAGAACCGACCAGAAGACAGTGCCCCCTGGTGAGCGCCAAATGGAAGAGAAAGACACACGGATGGCTTGCCGGCGCAGGAGACACCCATCGTGCAGCGTCTACAGAGCGCACCCGATGCAGGTAAAGCCACCGCCAGGGCAGCCCCGCTCAGGATCCAGCCCGTGCACAGGGACCCAGAGGCCGAGGGCAGGGAGTCACAGGGAGACACCCAAAGCCGGACGTCATTGGACAATCAACCCTGGAAACGAAAGCTCAGCCCTTGGAAAAGATCAGAAAACGGACCTGTGCAGGCAACGTGGTTTGGAAGGCAGAGAGGGGACATGCAGCGTGTCCGTCCCCGATGTGGTCCCGAACAGCGGAGCGCCTGGGGCGCCAGGACGCGCATGCAGACACACCTGTAAGCCTCATGTGAGGAAATGCCACCAGCCTGGGCTACGCCACGGAGAAGAGAAACTCGCTCATGACTTCCTGTAATCTTCTCAGAAAGAACTGAGTGTGACCCCAGGTGGGTTTCTTGCTGAGTGTTCAGGGAACAGACCCAAGTGCACGGACAGTTCCAGAACACACGCTGGTGAGGAACGCTCCCCGCGTGACGGCACGAGGCCAGCCTGACGGCAAAGCCGACAGGAACTGCACGGACCGACGCCAGGGGAGCCCGGCCTGGACGACACGTAAGCCCCCCAGCAGCCACGAGAAGCGGAACCCAAGAGCATGTGGAGCGGAGCGAACGGGATTCGTGATGAAACGGGACTTATCGTGGCCACGAGGCCGCGTCCACCGCTGGACGGACGTTGGTCTCAGTCCAGTGAAGACACACGGGAAACGGCCCAGCAGCACGTCAGCAGGGGCAGGACAGCGTGGCACAAACGTCACCACCGCGTCAGGACCGTTCAAGGGAAAGAGCTGTGAACACGGGGAGGGACAGGACCCCCGAGTGACACGGGGGCGGGGCTGCGGGAGACCTGCCCCCAGCTCCCTGCTTCAGAGACCACAGCCCAGTGGACGGCGGACGCGGAGCTCCCCACCTCCACACACCCCCAACCGACCCACAGGCCAGGTCTCCCCAGATCCCACGGCACCACGTGACTCAAAAGGGAGAGAGCGACTCAGCCCCAGGAACCCACGTCCACGCCGCCCACGGCACCGGGAGACTCACCAGGAAGAGAAGGACCCAGTTTTTAGATGCACGGACAATAGGAGGTGGCACGTCCACGCAGACGCGCGGCTGCAGAGGAACGCAAGGTGAAGCGCTCCGGGCCCTCAGGGAAGAGGGGAACGTTGAGGGGACACAGTGAGCTCTGCCCGCACACCCTTCACAACAGTGCCGAGCTGGAAACGCGCACGTCCCCCACACTCCCACGTGGAGGCCTGAGCCCCAGGGCATGGCTGTGAGTGGGTGGGCCCTCGGGGCGTGACTAGGTGACGTGTGGGGCTGCACGAATGGGACGGGGGCCCTGAAACGGGGGACTTGGGGAGCATCCAGCCCCCTGCTGCACGTGAGGACCCTGCACGGACACCAACTGTGAACCAGGCAGAGGCCCCTCCCCGCCCCCCCACGCGGCACCTTGCCTGCGGTCGGACGGCCTGCACATGCATCACGAGGAAATGTCCGTGGTGTGTGCTCGGAGTCTGTGCCCGTTCCTCCCGGAGGCCCAAGGAGACACGCGTGGTGGTCGGTGAGCAGCAGCCACCTGACGTGTGCCGAGGCTACGGGGCCCCCAAGGACACACCCACGGCGGCAGGAAAGCAAAGTGGTGCAGCCTTGGTGAGACCGAGTCATGTGGATGCCACATAGATTACACACGGACTGTAATGCAGCATGTACACTCCCACATACGCGCGCGCGCGCACACACACACACAGGAACAGTAACTCAGCACGTGCACTCGGACGGCGCAGCCCTTACACACGGGAGGCTGGGGACGTGAGGAAGTCCCGCGGGCGTCTGCAGAGCCAGCTGACAGAACACTCCCATACACACGGACAGACGAGAACGATGCACACACGTGGTGTTAAGTGCAACGTCACTGTGACGGCTGGCAGCCCGTGTCCCTGTGATGAGGGGGACAGAGAACGCAGACTGAGGCTCATGGCCGTGGCTGAGCACTGTGCGTGTGCTGGAAGAGGGGACAGAGTCCTCACGCCACTCCCCTCGTGGACATGGTCCATGTTTCCATTCTGGCGGCACAGACGCATGAGTCAAGAGCAGGTGCCATGGACACAAGGCATGAAACAAGCGTGGCACTTCTGTCCATGTCTGTCGGAGACCTGGTGCTGAGCCAGTGACTCTGGTGAGGCACAGATGGCCCAGCCTGTCTGTAGCCCATCCCTGCACCGCACGCGCCCTGAGGAGTCAGTCCCCGTCCCTGCAGACGCCCTGAGGAGATGGGTCCCCGTCCCTGCACCGCACGTGCCCTGAGGAGATGGGTCCCCGTCCCTGCAGACGCCCTGAGGAGATGGGTCCCCGTCCCTGCACCGCACGCGCCCTGAGGAGTCAGTCCCCGTCCCTGCACCGCATGTGCCCTGAGGAGATGGGTCCCCGTCCCTGCACCGCACGCGCCCTGAGGAGTCAGTCCCCGTCCCTGCACCGCATGTGCCCTGATGGTCTCAGTCCCCGTCCCTGCACCGCATGTGCCCTGAGGAGATGGGTCCCCGTCCCTGCACCGCACGCGCCCTGAGGAGGGTCACCTTTGTGAGCACCTCGAAGCTGGACAGCGCCAGGCAGCGCACTTCTCCTGGGCGCTTGACTGACCATAAAAACCTTTTTACCACCAAACCCAAACCGTTCACCGGCCAGTGGGGCTGAGAGAGCTCAGCTCATGTGCAGCCAGTGACCGGGACACAAGTCCACACCAGTGCCTGCCCAGCCGCAGCTCTGTGTGCGCAGAGTTCCCGTGGAAAAAGCATGGGGTGTGCGGGTGGGAGGGACCACAGCAGGGAGGCGACACCGCACCGCCCACTGCCACAGGCCCAGAGCCCTGCCTGTGCCTGGCCCGGCGAGCGCACGGGGGCCTGTGGCCGAATGGTTGCACGCGTCCTGGACCTAACGCCCGGGACCAGCTGCGCGAGTCCCCAGCTGTCACGACACGAGAGGCGCCTAGTGTACAAGGCTGGAGGCGAGGGGACTTGGGTGGGGCACTCGCCTTGCGCCACGCCCTGCGCCACAGGGCCACGCCGCGCCCGAGGGCCGCCCGTTAGCGCTGCGCGCAGAAACAGAACAGCTGCTAACGCGGTTAGTCACAGCGGGTGGCGAGGTCTCTGCGCCTGCGCACGCGCCTCCTGACGGTTCCGGAGCGTGTGGCACCTCCGCCGCCGGGCTGCAGCTCGCATGGTCAGAGACCGGTGGCTCCATGGCTCCATGCTCCCGGCAAAGAGAACCACCGGGCAGATGTGCTGTGAATGCAGGACAGAACTTTCTGTGAGGAGACAGTGTGTGCACGACAGCACGTGGTCCGTTCACCCCGAAAGTGGTGACGTCACACGTGTGTGAACTCCCTCACGAGTGCACGTCTTCCGTGATGCGTATGTCCAGGCGCACAAACGCGCTGGTACCAGAACGCAAAACGACACAGACGGGAAACCAGCGCTGTGGCCACTGCTGGCGCTGGCGCAGGACACGGAGCCGGACACACAGGGACGGAGGCTGCACTCGTCTGAATATGCGGGTTCCCTGCTGTTCAGCTCAGAAGCACATGTTCTCACACGTGAAACAAAATTGAAACAACAGGTAAAACGCTGATTGCTTGATCGGTTCCGGTCATGACCTCAGGGTTTCAAGCTCAAGCCCTTGTTGGCTGACAGCTAATTCTCTTCCCTCCATTCTCCTCCCCGACTCACGTTCTGTCTCTATCAAAATACGTAAACTTAAAAGTTTCTTTAACTTATAAAACATAAAACGCAATCCCAAACTTGTTCTCAGAGACGGAACTCCTCTAACATCAAAACCAAAGAGACAACAAAGAAGTACAATCGGAACCTTTATGGATACAAATAAAGCAAAAACCAACAACGAAATACAAGCAAATGGAATCCAGCAATGTGCAAAGCGGACTGTGCACCCCTGGAACGGGGGCAGCGCTCCGGAACGCGAGGCTGGCTTCACCGCGGGAAGGTCGGCTTCCGCAACACACGGGGTCAGCGCGAGAAAACACCTAAGCCGTCTTAGCGGGTGCAGAAAATGCGCCTGAGAAATCCAATGTCCTTTCCAACTACACGCCGCACACCCGCAGCGGCCACACGTCGTCGGCCTGCTGACCGTACGTGTCAGAGCTGCGCGACCCGAGTCGGGCTTGGTGCGTAAGAGCACACACATCCCCCCGGAGCAGGAGTGCTGGCGTTCCTTCCGCTGGTCGCTGGCGCCACGTGGGAGGTCGCGCAGCACTTGGACGCCATGAAGAAATGGGCCCCACGCGCACCAGGAAGGAAGCAGCAAAGCTACTCGTAGCCGCGGAGGATGCGACCATGTGTTTGAAGCCCTAGTGAATGTGCCAGAGCAGCACTGGGCCTGATCCGTGAGTCTCAAGGGTGCAGGACACAAGGTCAGTGCACACCAATCAATCCCATTTCTACGCGTGTAATGAACAATGTGAACGTTTAGAAAACGATCCCAGTAACAAAAGTATCAAAAAACAAAATACTGAGGAACAAATTTCTTAAGACGTGCAAGGCATGCTTGAAAACCAGGAAACGTTGCTTTTCTTTCTTTTTAACGTTTTATTTATTTCTGAGAGAGAGAGAAAGACAACATTAGCAGGAGAGGAGCAGAGACAGACACAGAATCGGAAGCAGCTCCAGGCTCTGAGCTGTCAGCACAAAGCCCGACGCGGGGCTCAAACCCAACGAACTGTGAGATCATGACCTGAGCTGAAGTCGGACGCTTAGCCGACTGAGCCCCCAGGTACCCCCAGGAAACGGTTCTGAAAGAAGCTGAAGATGTAAGTGAACAGAGACAACTTGTGTTTTTGGATGGGAAGTGACGACACTCCCCCAGCCGCTGGACAGAGTCACGGTGGCTGTCCTCAGAACATCCGCCGGCATCTCTGCAGATGAGAAGCTGGTCCTGAAATTTGCGCAGAGCCTCAAGGAGCCCGGAATGCCCGCAATGAGCAGAGACTCAGACCATCTGCACTGCCCTGGTCAAAAACCAAGGCAGGAAACAACCAAGATGGTGGTTCCGGCACAAGAACAGAAATGCGGGGCCACGGGCCAGGACGGGGAGCACTAATTAACCCGCATCCGACGATGCTCTGACGTCCAATGCGGGCGACGGGGCCGGCGGCCCGGACTCGGACACACACCGAGATGATGCTGTGGGCGCCCGACTGGCTCTGTCGGGGCAGCTTGCGACTTGTGATCTCTGGGCTGTGCGTGTGGGCCCACGTCGGGGAGATATGCTACTTAAAAAAATCTTTAAAACAACAGCCACGAAGTTGTGCCCCAGTGTCACCATGTACAAAACTCAACGCAGATTAGACGGATGCAGAAGAGGTGAAGCTATAAAACTTGTATGAATACGAAGGATCTTCGTAACTAAGACGCGGCAACAAGTTCTCGGACCCAGAAAGCACAAGCAAGAAAGGAAAACCAGAAAAAATGAAACAGGTCAAAACGAAAGGCCTTTCGTGTGGCATGGGCCACGGCCCAGAAGGCGACACGCACCAGCAAACACCAGGACGCACGTGTATGCCAAGTGCTCAGGGACGTGCACGCACAGACGACAACTTCAGAACAGCAAGGCTGCGACGGGCGCGTGTCCAGAGTCGTGCGAACGGCCGACACACATGCGGAAACGTGGTCGCGTCAGTCCTCAGGGAAAGCACAGACCAAACCCACGACGACACTGACACACACACGGCTCATGTCGGCACAGGAGTGCACACACGGGAGCCTCACGCCGCTGGGCAGCATGACGTGGTGCAGGGCCGGGAAGAGGGCTTGTGGCTGCACGAGTGATGGGCGGCGTTCCCGGTGAGCCTGCAGCCCCGAGGTGTGAGAGAGGTCGAGTGTGCACATGTCAACGCTGTTGGAACACACCGTGCGCGGACACATGAGGAGGCAGCAAGTCGGCCGAGCGCCCCGCCACCTGCCACGTGCGGCTTGTGTGCACTGTGTGCCCATGTCACCCGCCGCCCCGGACAGGGAAACGTGCGGGGTCAGGCAGGGGCCAGGAAGGCCTGCGCGGGGCCTCTGGGCAACAGGTCACATTAGCGCTCGTCAACCCCAGGAGGGACCTGTGCACACACGTGTTCGTCCACATCCCTGTGTGTGGGCCAAAATCTGGGCCACGAGCCTATGGACGCGCCGAAGGAAACCCATGCCGCTGGCATGCGGGGCACCCACCTTGGCCACTCGGCCCATGTCCTCCATGGTGGCCCTCTCGTGTGGGAACTGGGCGAAAACGCGCTCGATCTTGGCGATGACGGCGTCCACGCTCACTGTGTCCTGGGGGCGGCCGCGAGGGAAGTAGAACGTGGGGATGATTTCGCTGCTGGCCGGCGGCCGGGGCTCTTCCTTCCTCGTCTGAACCTACAACGCAGAGCAGAGCGAGTCCGTGAGAACCGGGAACGTGGTGCCCTCACGCTGTGAGGGACGCAACGAGCAGAGCGAGCGGCTCTAACGTGAGTGCCCCGAGCGCATGGGACCCGATGTGTGCGAGGCCTGCGCACAGTCCCTGTGGTGCTTGCACACCCCGAGGTGAGCGCCACGGTCCCCCACAGGCCCACCTGCGGAGCCACCTCAGTCCTGCCTCGCGGTGACCCCGGGGACCCCAGCACGGGGACCCCAGCACGGGAAACCCAGCACGGGAACCGGGGAGGTCTGGGCTGACCCGTGTCGACGCTTGTGAAAACCCTGTCCACGGTCCCGTGGTGGGTCCAGCGCCTGCCCCGCTGTGCCCTGCCAGTGTCCAGGGGGTCAGGACAGGCCGCAGGGTCCCCGCAGGGGTGCAGTCAGGATGAACCCGGTGGCCACAGATAATGAGACGATTGCATCTAGGAAAGGGTGAACTCGCACATGCAGCTTATGTGTGCACTGTTGTTCCCACATGTACACTTCCTGCACAGGGACCCACTCTCTGCTCCGACACATGGGTCACACACACACACACACACACACACACACACTCTCTCTCTCTCTCTCCCCGCACAGGGACGCCCCCCCCCCCCAATCCCGGCACGCAGGTCGGTGGCTCACAGAAGGTCACCCCGGGTCCGGGTCCCCAGGAGTCCTGGCAGAGCCAGACCGGCCTCTCTCAGCAGCACCCGAGGCTGCGGCAGGTCCCGAGGAACCTGCTCACTGAGCACCGTCCGCGCATCCCGGCTGAGGGGCCGGCGGCCTGAGGGGCGGCTGTGGTGATGTCGGATGGTTGCTCCGCACACAAGACAGAAGTGCGTTGTCTAGTCCCACGAGCAGACACGAACCCTCAGGCCGATGGCCGAGGACACAATTGCTCAGGGGGTGCCCAAGGCTGTGGGCCGGCCAGGGGTGGGGACACCGCGGCAGGGGTGCACGCGGCGCCCTTGCGGCCCTGCTCGGGACACTGGCTGCCTGTCCCTGCGGGTGGCGCTCAACAGCCTCTGAGTAAACGCGGCACCTTCTGCCGCCATGCACACCCGCCCAAGGCCCCTGACAACCCCGCCTCGGGTCGCCACAGCGGGCAGAGCCCGGGCAGCACAGTCCCGCCTGCAGGCGCATCTCCCGTCTACACGGGACCTTCCGGAAGAGCCGGGAAATAACGCCTCCACCTGAAGCGGCAGGAGCAGCCTGGTGCCCTAACAGGGGAGGGCACTGGGGGTGAGGTCACAGAGGGGGTGCTGCGGTGGGAGGGCAGTGAGCAGGAAGATGGTGAAGGGGGAGGTCGTGAGGGGGGAGACGGTGGGAGAGGAGGTCAGTGAGGGGGTGGTGAGGGGGAGGGCAGTACAGGAAGCACACGAGCCTGTGGCCACCAGACTGTGAGTGGAGACCGGCTGTAGGGGAGGCAGGGAGGGGACAGAGCAGGTGGGGGGAGGGGAGGGACTGAGCGGGGAGGGGCGGGCTGTGGGGGGACAGAGCAGGTGGGGGCCAGCTGTGGGGGGGCAGGGAGGGGACAGAGCGGGTGGGGGCGGGCTGTGGGGGGGCAGCGTCACCACAGCTGGGGGGCTGCAGGCACCGGCAGCAGGGCCTGACCCTGGGAACCCGTCCGCCAGTGTGGACACACGCAGTACTGGTCCCGTGTCAGGACAGTCCCTGTCATCCCGCCGCACATTAGCGATGACCTGGGTCGTCTCCAGTCACACCTCAGGACGTCCCCATCCCCGTCACATGCCAGGGACCGTCCTGTGTCCCCTCAGCCACACTGCAGGACCGTCCCTGTCATCAGGCCCGCGTGTGCAGCCCTCAGTGCTCAGACGCCTCACGTCCAAGACACGTGCGCGTGTTCCTGACGTCGTCCCGTTAGCCAGTGCGCGGACCAGGGGGCCTGGGGGCCGGCACACGGGAGGGGACAGGGCCGCTCGATGCGTCCGGGAGCCGGAGCGCGCAGCAGGGCATGGGGGGGCCAACGTGGGGGAGTGTGGTGGAGGGGAGCAGGGAGGAGGCTGGGGGAAGGGAGGGTGGGGGAGGAGGGAGGGTGGGGGAGGGAGGGAGAGCGAGGAGGAAGAAGGGACGACGGCGGGAGGGTGGGAGGGAAGGAGAGACAGACCAGGAGGCAGCAGTGTGTGCGGGCAGGGGTGGGACGGGACGGGTGACCTGGGTGCCTGGGGCAGCACGTGACCTCTGCACGGCGGTCCCCGCGCCCTCAAACCCGCACCTCCGTCCCAGGGCGTCCGGCCCCTCCGGTGCCCTCCGCCCCTCCCCTTCCAGGTCCACACCACACCCCCACCACTCCCCCCACCCAGGCCAGTCCTCCCTCCGCCCGCCCCCCCACCACGCACCCCTCCTCGTCCGCCCCCTTCCTTCCTCAGCCCCGCCCTCTCCACCACGCATCTCTTCCACATTCTCTCTCACCTCGCCCCCCTTCCACGTGCCCGCTCCGCCCTGCCCCCACCACCTGGCACCCCTTTGCCCCGCCCCCTCTACCACATACACCCCCTTCCACACCCCCTTCCACCACACACTCTCTCCACCCAGTCCCCTCGACCACACATCTTCTTCCGTGTCCCACTCCACCATGCCCCCTCCACCATGCCCCCCGTCCCCTCCACCCAGTGCCCCTCCATCTGTGTCCCAGTTCTGCCCCCGACCCGTCCCCTCCACCACACACTCCCTTCGACGTGCCCTCTCCGCCCAGCCCCCACCTTCCACCGCACTGGACCCCCCTCCCCAACACGCTGGTGTGGGATCAGCGTTCCTGCCCAGGGGTCTGAGAGCCCGGCTCCACAGCACCGGGTAAGGGGCAGGGGCCCAGGGGCCTGGCACACACCCGCTCAGTGGCCACCTCAGGGCCTTTGCACCCACTGACCCCAGGCACCCCCACAGTCTGACTCACTTCATCCCAGGGAACGCTCAGATCCCACTGGCTACAAACTCAACATACCCCTCCCACACCCCCCACCGAGAGCCTGATCATTGGTCAAAAGGGCACCCAGAGCAGACAACACCCCTCCCCATGATCCCCTCCCCACCTTGCAACTCCTCCCCAGCCCCCGTCACCCCAGGTCACAATGCCACGCAGCGAACAGAGCCCACCCCCACCCTCATCCTTCCTGCTGGCTTTGTCCTGGGTCACCAGGCTCGGGAGGTGTCGGTGCCCCGAGCAGAAGGGGCCAGGCTGCCCCTCCACACCGGGTCTGGCAGTGAGCAGGTCCCCAGCACACGCAGGACTCCCCAGGAGGCGTCCCCGGGCCACAGGCCCCCAGGAGGGGACCCCACTGCACCCAGCGCACCCCAGGCGGTGAAATACCCTTGTCTGCACGGCCGTGACAAGGGGCAAAATCCAGTGTCCCCGGAGGGGGCTGCCCCTGAGTGGGAGTACCGGAGAGCCACCCCTTCTGTGAGAATGAGCTAGAACGAAATCCCCCGGTCGCCGGATGGCAGGCAGTACAGGGGAGCGCGCGGCACAGCGCTGGCGCCACGTCCGGGGGCGGGACGACGGCGGCCACAGAGGGCACAGCCACGGCCGTCCCCCCCCCCTCCCCGGGTCCTCTCCAGCAGGCATCTGCCGTCTTCCGCCCCGGCCCACGCGCGCCCGCCAAACCCGCTCTCCGACCCAGCGCGCGGCTGTCCCCCCTCCCAGGGGGCGGCGGGAAAGGGCACCGCTCCACCGCGGCCCCCAGCCCGATGCGCGCCTGACGTGACCCGGGTCCCAGACGCGGCCACGACGGCAGCTTCACACAGACCTCGGCCCCACGGTCGGCGACACCCGCAACTGTGATTTACGGGGTGACATGCTGCCGGGACGGGGCCCTGGCCCGCACTCCGGTGGGGCCCCCTGGCCCTCAAGCAACGGCCCGACGCGTCTCCAGTTCTGCGGCGCGCCTTTCGTTCGTACCTTGCGACAATCCCAGGGCCCCGCTGGCTGCCCTGGGGGACCCTCCCCGGGACCTGGTGCTCGGCCTGCCCGCACCAGCCCCCCACCCCTCGGCGAGGACCGTTCGGCAGTGCCAGGCGCAGAAACACACACGGGAACGAGGCCGGAGCCCCCGATCAGCCTCGCGGCTGAGGACGGAAGCAGGTGACTCGTAGGCCAAGCTCGGAAAGGTCCCCAGTGAACGCAGAGGGCAGAAAATAGCGAGAAGAGGGAGAAAGGCGATAATCCAGGGGCGGTGCGTCAACAAGAGTATTTATTTATCTGTGTAATCAAAGTTTGTGTATTCAGTGTCTTTTTTAGGTTTGTACTGCCGTGCGTGCCGCGGGGACGTCCGCCCCCGCAGCCACTGCAGCGCGTCACGGAGGCCCCCACGACCCGGGGCGCCGCTGGGAACCCGCGCACGCCGAGCCCCGCGCCCCGGCGCCGGCCTGCGGGACAGAAACAGCCGCGCGACGCAGGATTTACGGGTTAATCTCCTGGACATAAATAGCGCGCGGCCGCAGCAGCTGCAGGACACACATTCCTGAGGGCACACGGCGCGTCCTTGGGCGCCGGCCACCTCCCGGCCGCCTCCGCAGGAGCCGCGGGCCCTTCCGTGACCCCCGCGCACCGGACGCGACGCGCCCCTCCCTCGGGGGAGGCGCAGGCGGAGGAATCAGGACGCGCCCCCCGGGGAGGCGCAGGCGGAAGGGCCCCGTGGTGCTCGGGTCCAGACCAGCAGTGACAGAGAGGAGAGGGGGACAGAGGGCGCCTCGCCACGCAGATATTTCCGTCGGGGCACTGACTCATCGCGACACCGGGAGCAGAGGCCCCTCGAGCCCCAGCGCACAGCGCCCCAGCCACGTGGGGCCGCGCCCCCGCCCCACCGAAGCCCCTGCGGCCCTGCGGTGTCTCCCACACGAGGTGTCCACGCCGCGTGTCTGCGGAAGCCTGGGATGACCACGGCCGCAGGCGGGCAGGGGTCCCACGTGGAGGCCCAGGACGTCAGCCGCGCGGGGACGAGGGTGGGGGAGCCTCACGG